GTTTCATGGCTTTCTTCGTCACCATCACGAGTATCACTATAACCGACCGATGAAGCAGCAGTGTTACATATCACATGTCTGAAAGGTGCTTTATGTTATTTCTTGTTTTAAGAATGATTTCCAACCTCAGATGCAAACTTTGAGGTACAAACTCCGAGTCCTGGATTCTACCACTGATGTTTTAATGCCGTTTCACGCTGACATTTTACAATTAGACGCCAAAAGCTGCATATTTTTCCAGCGATCACACCCGAGTTTGTCTTTCTGTTCTCAAACCTTACATTCTGTCAAGGTTTCAAGTTGTTAAAGGTGAAGGTTCATGACAGCAGCGTATAGTCCAAGATAAACCTCCTTTTAGAGGCATTAAAATTTTATCTGCGGAATCTTAATCCTCAGTGTCCAAGTTTTACGTTCTCTTTGATAGTCTGACCTTGAGTATGCCTCTTGTCAGTTGTTTATGTGAGTTTCCGTCTGCCAAGTTCATGTTACTCCAGACTGCTTGCGTGAATGTATGCACTCGGGTACAGTATTGTGGTTTCCATCCAAAACGCTATTTACAGTATCCACTTTGGAAAGTGATGTCCAATCTGGAACTCATCTGTGTGCAGTCAAGCTCTTTAAAAAGACTTCTAAGTCACCCGCGATGCACACAGTGATTTGGTAAAAGTAAGTGTCAGTTTATATATACGTTTTGTAGGCAGACTTTTCTGCGTCTATACAAGTCACATATGTGCACGTATTACTTTAATCTATGGTTTTATAGGTTTGCGATTTAGTGGCGTCTCTGAAGAGAAGAGATAGCTCGACCAACCCCCTGCTGCAGCCCCATGAGATGGGACTATTAACACTACTGGAAAATGACAGGGGCTTCACATCTGGCTTTGAAGAGACCTCTGGCTGGAGACAGAAACATCAAAGGATTCTTCAAAGCCAATTTCAGTCTGTTCACGCTTAAAAGAAATATTGTCTCGTGTCTTTATTGAGCAGTTTAGGAGAATTTAAGAAAAAGGTTTAAAAGGAATGTCATCCTAAAGGTTTGTTAATCAAAGGAAAGTCACTGTTTTGCAATGTGGGCCAATTGATTATTTCTTATCCAACGTACTTCATTTGTGACCTCATTGTAGCTTTCATTTAATGCATCTTTTGCTTGAGGTCTCTTTAAAGTCAAATCTAAAAATGCCCTCACTGTAGCGGTTTAATAGTGCAAGTTAGAACCACAGTCACACAAAACTAAAAGACAGAGACACTTTTATCCTCTTATCTTTCACCTTTCCCCATTGCCCCTGCTGGTTGAAGCAGAAGACTTCTCTCCCTGAACCTGGTTCTGCTCCAGGTTTCCTCTTGTTACATTTAGTTTTTGCTTCCCACCATTGCCAAAGAGCTTGCTTAGAGGGAATCACTTAGATTTGTTGGGTTTCTCAGTATAATAAAATACTGTAAGGTCTTGATACTACTATAGAATACAATAGAATAGAAAATAACTTATTTGTGTGAAATCTATGTGAAATGCCCTGAGATTACGTATGTTGTGAGCTGGCGCTTTATAAATACATCTGAACTGAACAATACTTCCACACACATGCAGAATGTTGGCCTCCTGGATCTACAACAGCTGTGTTTCTGTCATTTGTTAGTGTTTTATTCCATGCTCTTATCATCTTCTCATCAGTGTTAGTATCTTGAGCCCGATCAGCATATTCTGGTTGGCCAATATTATTGACCGATTTTGGCTTATCATAGATAATGTAGAAAAAGATGCTTGGGGTAATGTAGAAATGCTGTCATCGCATATTTTATCCATTGTTCACGATACTTTTAACACTGTCTGCAGCACATGTAGCAGAGTACGCATCACGGTTGTGCAGACGGTGGTGCAGAGTCAAGCGTTATCGTCATTGTAATTTGCTAACTAGTTTGTTAAACACATTGCTGGAAAGATAATACCAACAATCGCATCTTTTTAAATAGATGATATATATATTGTTGGTTAACTTTGGGAGTGCCAATCATGATCCTTTGTTCTAGAAAGCACTTAAACCCAACCACTGTTGTCTTAAATGTGCTAAGTAGAGAATGCTGACTTCACTGAACCTTTTTATCTTGTTTATTTTGCGGGTTTGAAATCTTATTTGGTTTTCTTTTGTCTAATTTGACATTTGTTTTCTTGTAAATCCCTTCAAAAGGTGCCATACAAATAAAGTTGTCATTATTATATATTGGCTGATATATTGATATCAGCATTTTTTGCTCCCTAAAAGCAATATCATCCCAGAAAATCCAGTACCCGTTGGGCTCTATTAGTGTCAGTATTAGCGAGGTGTTTGTGTGTTTGTGCATGACTTATGGGTAGGGAGTGTGGGGGAGTGTGTTTGTGTTGAACATCAGGTTTATTATTTTAAGCAGAGCCATGCTCACATCATTGCACAGAAATAGCACCAGCTCAGTTCAGTACCCTGTTACATCAAGTGTGTGAGTGTTTTGTTGACTTGTGAGTTAAACATCGTCCCTTTAACTCGCGGCATTTCTGTGTTGCTGCATGTATGGTGCCTGTGTGTGCTGTTTGACACTCCTCTATAGAGTTTTTTTTTTTTTTTTTACATGCCCTCCATGTCATGTGTATGTTGGCGTGTCGCAGCTCAGTGTGTTGATAAGGGGGCCTCAGACACGGGGTCTGCCCTCAGGGGAAATGGTCAGACAAGGGCAGAGTCTATATTTAGCCATGATGGTGGGATACACTGACATCTTTGTTTCATACCAGTCCAGGCCAGTGATCACTGGGGTTGTTTAGTTCGTCCATCTGACTGCAAACAGCTACACACATAATTCAAAGTATTATTCACTGGAACAGAAGCATTCCTGGAGTTATTCAAGAAGCACAAGCTGAGCGCCACCCATCATGAACACAGGTCTGACTGAAAATCCAGGCCAGTGATCTACAACAACATATTTAGACTGCAAGACAATGCACCAGCAGCCCAACACAAACCACCTGTCAGTGACCACCTGTTCCACATGCTGGAAGACCTCCAGCACATTAGCTCCTCTATGACAAATTCCTGCTGGTTTGTGTAGACCTAGAAGGTAGTGTCGCCATTGCTTTGGAAAAAAAACTCATAAAACTCCTGGATAAGTCTATTCTTAAAATGTCCTCTGTGGACATGGCAAAGAAAGCAGCACTGGCCTCTACAACAGCAACAACTGGTCCATTAATTGGATTAAAAAAAAAACAACAAGTTGCTTCTTTCATACTTTATTCAAGCTAAAATTCCCTTTCACTGGTGAGAACTTATCTTACATCTCTTGGTGTGGGACTAACAAAGGATCACTTTGTTTCTGACATCATATAAACCAAATAATTAATCAATTAATCGAGAAAATGACTGCCAGATTAAAGGCAAACAATAATTTGTCTGTGGTGGGGCTGTGGAAAACCAAATCAATTTTTGGTTAAAAACAAAAACAAAAAAACCCACTTATCATTCAACCATAAAAAATCTGCACTTTATCTTGAGATTAACTAAACTGGAGACTGTACACAGACCGCTCTCTTCCCGCTAGCCCTATTAGCCTTAATGCTCTAAATAGACATAAAAAGCTTGTATTTGTAGCAAATGAAATCGTTTTCACCTCGTAATTTTATGCTGACATGATTACAACAGAATTGGAGCAGGTCAGTATGAAAATGTCAACTCATGATGCCAGCACAAGAACTCTTGAAGAATATATATTTTAGCTGATATGCCATGTTGGTTGTTGAGCTGTGATATTTGAACTGTTGTTTTCAAAGTTAACGTTTGACTTTTTGTCCATCTCTTTCAACGCAATGCAGCCACACAGGCGACATCTTTGACATAGTGTCTGTTAGTTTGGAGCCGACTCCAAGTAAATCTTAATTAAGTTAGCCGTAGCGGTCTCCAATAGGTGTGGCAAGTTTAAAGTTGTGAAAACACAATGGTGTTTATAGGTAGTCTGTTTCTGCGGCTGCCAAAAATAATGGATTAATCCTAGAAAACTACTGATGTAAGGCTTTTCTCCTCATCTAAATAACACTGGTGATTGTCCAACCGAAGTTGGAAAACAGTGTATCAAGCTGGGGCGGCAGCTGTCTGCCTTCTGATGATCGAGTTCCTTTAAAAAAAAAATCTATTTTTCTAGTGAAAAAGTGAAAGTAAAAGAATAATATTGAGAGGCTCCAGCTGTTGGAGCTAGTAGAAGAAAAAAAACAACAACTCCTGCACTAAGTAGCATTTAATTCAACCGACTGAAATCAAGCCACAGTGTGTATCAGTAGTGTAAACATATCATCAGCAGTAGTAATGCAGAACAGATGCAGGTGAGAAGAAAACCTACATTGTGAACACATCTGTAAAAGAATGTGTTGTCACCAAACCCCCCCTCACCCTTCACACAAATATAGGAATAAGGGAGTGTGTCTGCTCAGGACACAAGGTCTTTTTTTTTTTTGGCTGGAGGGAGTATGTTTTTGTGCTGCATTTTTCCTCAAACAGAGTGTGTGTTTGTGTGTGTTTTGAAGCTGTGCCCTGTACACACACACACACACACACACACACATACACATATACACACACTCTGTACAGCTAATTCCCACAACACAGCCCCAGCTATTTCCAATGTTTATTCTTTCTTTTGGTCAATTTGGAGTTGTCACGCTGCTGATAAATGGGCTGAGGGAAATTGCACTTAATTGAATCACAAATATATCTGAATTATTACACACAAGCTTCACAAGCAAGTTAGGACGGTTAAATTTCCCCCAGGTTATGTAATTTAATTTCATGATAATCACTGGGGAGTTCTACCGGAATATGAGATCGGCCTTGTGTGTGTTTTGGATGTCCTGTAAGTATTGTTTTGTTTGGAGGGATGTCTTGTTTTCATCATCTTCGGTCTTCTCTGAAGCATCACTTGCTCAGTAGGTGTTTTCCATCTTTTTCTGTCCTCCGTCCACCTCCTCATCTTTTTTTCTCTCCTTCTTTCAGGGACATTAAACCCGACAACATTCTGCTGGATATGAACGGCCACATCCGCCTTGCTGACTTCGGCTCCTGCCTCAAACTCATGGAGGATGGGACGGTAAGTTTTTACCACACCGCTGCTGATGCCTCCTTTAGTCCAAAGCAAACATACCAGAGCTTTACTGACCTCCTTGTCAACCCCCAGGGGTCTCCCAGGAGGAGTGTGTGGTTCAGCTGCCTGGCTGTGCCTGCGGTTTATGATTCAGACAATTCTTCCAGCACAAAAAAATAAAATCCCTGTAGGTATTACGTAAAAGGAAAAATGACAGGATGAAATGGATGATCAAAGAAGAGGTTATGTGATATTTAAAAAAAATAAATTTAGCACTAGATTGAAGGTGGGAATCATGATAACGGTGTATTTATTCAGTGTGTCATCTGTAATAAAGAAACCCACTGATGATGCCAACATGTGATGGATGCAGAGCCCAACATCTGCTTTTTCTCTTCCATTGTGGAACTTTTGGCCCATTAAGCAGGACAATAACGTCTAACATTTCATATTTTTTTATGTAATTGAACTTCCCAATGTACAGCTTTTACAGTAATTCAGCATTAAATGCACATTCTCAAAAGTGCTTGGAAATAAGTTGAAGCAGTACTCTGAAAAATAGTGTAGACCGGGGAATTCATCCTGAAGCGGGGGTCTGAAAGATCAATATGCTCTTTGTTTGCTTGTTTGCTATTGCTGGAGCGATTGTATTTATCTTGCTTGTTTCCAAGACTTCAGCCTGTAACTCATCATCATCACTCTTATTACTGTAGCTTGCAGACTGAGCCACTTAGCTGTTGTGCCATTTGTGAGATTCTGTCTTCTTTATTACATTTTTTGGATTGTTGGGATCATTTGTCGACCGTTGTTTCATCCTTCTGCTAGGTCCAGTCCTCTGTGGCAGTAGGAACTCCAGACTACATCTCCCCCGAAATCCTCCAGGCTATGGAAGATGGGAAAGGCAAGTATGGACCTGAGTGCGACTGGTGGTCCCTGGGCGTCTGCATGTATGAGATGCTGTACGGCGAGACTCCTTTCTATGCAGAATCCCTGGTGGAAACCTATGGGAAGATCATGAACCACAAGGTGAGCTTATGGAGTTTGATCAGCGTATATATTTTACCAGAAATTGTTGCTGTTGCTTACAAATCGTGGCATGTTTTACACAGGAGCGATTCCAGTTTCCACAGCAGATAACAGACGTGTCAGAGGATGCAAAGGATCTCATTCGTCGGCTCATTTGCAGTCGAGAGCACCGACTAGGCCAGAACGGCATTGAGGATTTCAAGCAGCACCCATTTTTCACCGGTACAGACTGAGTATATCTTTATATGTCGCAATAGTTGTATTTCCTCAGCGCATATTTTTGCTAGTTTTTAATGCGTTCATTAAAAAGGTTACTGGAAATCGCAAAATTCTTCAGTTCATCTAAAAGTGTTTTTATGCGCGCGTCAGGTGGTTTTTGACTTTCATGAAAAGAGCTTTTTTGGTTAAATTCTAACATTTAACTTCCGCTTCTTTTGTTGTCTTTGAAAAGAAAAGAAAAACGTTTGAGTCTTATAAAATCGTTGTATGGAGACACGGGCCTTCTGTGATCTGAATGTTTTTTTAAACATTTTTTTTGGTAGAAATATGCGATTTGTGTGTATTTTTTTTAACCTACAAATGTACTTATCTGCCTAATTTTTCACTTTTATTAGGAAATAGATGTTTTTTTTTAATTAGCTTGATTAGTGGCGCTTTTTAAATTTTTTTTGTAATTTATTCTAATTGTGTTTGTTTCCTCACTGATAAATGTACATTTTAGATTTTTTTTGTGTCTCTATGTGTCTGTATTTTATTTTTCCAAACCTCATTAGCACCCTTTTTACTTAATTAATGTATTATGTTATTTGTATTTTCTTATTTATGCAAATACCATAGCATCGTTTGAGGTGTTTACTAGAATCCACTGATTTTATAATGGGTATATCCGCCGGTTTGTGTGAATACGTATGCCACTATTTGCATATTTAATAATATATTAATCAACTTGTGTTCTACCTGCAACCTCCTGTTTTCAGGCATCGCTTGGGAAAACATTCTCACATGTGAAGCCCCCTACATCCCAGAGGTCAGCAGTCCGACAGATACCTCCAACTTTGACGTGGATGACGACTGTCTAAAGAACTCGGTGAGGGGCTTGTTCCACCATACTCTCATAATGTTGTCCGAATAAAAAAAGTGTTCATCTTTTTAAAAACTGTGTCTATTAAACAGGAAAATCTCACGTCTTTGTTGTGGTTTTTAAAATCATTTTCAGGAGACTATGCCTCCTCCCTCTCACACTGCCTTCTCTGGCCACCACCTGCCCTTTGTGGGTTTCACCTATACAAGTAAATGGTGAGTGTTACCATGACAAAATGCCCCCCAAAACCTAATCTTTAGAAAGATCTAAATAATTTTGAACTCCTGCCTAATTTAGTCATTTAGTCGGTTCATTTTGTCCTTTTTTTTTTTAAAGTCTTCTTTTACACTCATTTTTATGACTGTGATTTTAAGTGGATGGAATGAAGCAGAGGCATCGTTTTCCTCCAGTTTTTTCCCAGTTAGCAGAAATAAGATTATTAAAACGGTAAAAATGGATAAGAATAGGCATGAAAAACGGTCCCTGTCATTAGTTGGCTTCATACAGCATGTAATTAGTCATTTCAAATGGACAGATTTCCCATGCAGGCCTTCTCACTTGCACAGCGTTCTTATCATGCCATCTAGAGAAGCGTAGGAGTATTAAATGAGCTTCCCTCCCTAATAAGGTGATGTTCAAGACTCGCCGTAGATCCTCACACTAAAGTGCTACTCGTGAGAAAGCAACAAACCCAGCGGTTACTTCCTTATCTCGTCAAGCCTCAGTGATAATGGCCTTTTCCTTTCTTTCTTTTCCTCCCTTTTCCCCCCAACTCTGCCGGCCTCTTTCTCCTTCCATCTCCCCTCGTCTTTCTTCCTCCATGACTCAACATCTTCTCATCTTTCAGCTCATGTCTATCTTAGTCATCCACCTCTCTTTCCTGTTTTCCCTCCCATGCTGTTTCTTTGTCATTTCCTTCTGGCCTCCATCTCTCCCTTCTTCGATGTTTTTTTCGCCCACCACCATAAATGTGTTTCCTAATCAACCTTAAACCTCTTTCCCCTACTTTCCTGACTCTTATTTCTCAGTTGAAAAGCACTTTGGCTCAATGTCTGTTGTTTTCAATTTGCTATATAAATAACAGTGACTTGACTTAATTTTTTTTATCACTGATGCTCATATGTTTTTTATTTAATTTTTTCATTTGGGCTTTTTTAGCCTTTATTATAGTTGACAGTAGAGAGAGACAGGAAATATGAGGAGAAGAGTTGGGGAAGGACCTGCAGTAAATGTTCATGGGCCAGACTCGAACCGACAACCTCTGCGTTGGAGACTATAGCCCCCGTTCATGGGTCGCCCGCCCAACCTGTTGAGCTATCCAGGCACCTTCTCATGTGTTTTTTTTTTTTTTATATCTCCTGTGTAACTTTTTCTCCATCTACCTCATCTGTAGTACTCTATCTGACCGGGGCTGCCTGCGACAGCTAGCCGTGCAGCCGGGTAAGGCCGGGCAGGAGCAGCTGGACGTGGATGTTCAGCGCAGCCTGGAGGACAGCCTGGCCACTGAGGCCTACGAGAGGAGGATCCGCCGCCTGGAGCAGGAGAAACTAGAGCTCAGCCGCAAACTACAAGGTGAGGTTGGAAAAAATAGCCCATCTAGTTGCATGGATGCGTTGAATCATACATGCATGCACACAAACACACTGCAAACTGAAGCAGAGAGGGGGACATATTAATGCAGTTGTACATTTTGTTTAAGCGAATGCATAAATAGCATGCACAAGTAGAGGTACAGACTGCATACGTGCAATAAGAATAGCCAACAAATTCATCTTCTAACATCTAAATTCCACTTTTATTAGGAATTTTCTTCTCTCATCTGAGTTTAATTTGTGAAGAGTATACATAAAAAAGGCGCATAAATAATATTTCTAATGATATTTCTTATCTGATCTGTTACAGAGTCGACCCAGACGGTGCAGGCACTGCAGCACCCAACAGGCGAGGGCCCTGTCAGCGCTAACAAGGAGGTAGAAATCAGGAGCCTGAAGAGTGAGATCGACATTCTCAAGAAGCAGATCGCTGGTCAGCACTTTTTTTTTGCACATATTTAGCAGATTTTTGGAAACTCAGTTACTGCTAAACATAATTTTGCTGCATGTGAACACTGGAAATAAACACCTGCAGTCAAATGTCTTCACAACATTTTCATTTATATGTAAAACTTGGCGTGTATGTGTGTCAGATTCGGGCCAACTGGAGAAGCAGCTGGAGGATGTGACGTCGGCTCGCAGGGACTTGGAGGACTCATCTAAACACATCAAGACTCTGGAGAAACAGATGAAGAGCCTCACACAGGAGAGGGACGACCTGCAGAAGGTAGAAACAAGGTTTAATGAGGTTTTAGTTGCTCTGTACTGACTGATTTTTTGTTACTACTTATGCATGCAGTGCTAGAAAAATTACCTACAGTCAAAAACAAAGCCATCTTTCCTCAGAAAAATGTTCCCTAATTTTGACGTTGTCACAGATAAACCGAGAAACAACAAGACTGTTTGAAAGTCATATTGAGAATCTTCAGAACTCTTAGTTGCTTATTGTTCTTCCTTTGGGTGGTTGAACTTCACTATGCGGAATGATCCAAATTTAGTCCAACACATATGTGTACAAGCTGATTCTGCAACATCAAAACTAGTCTGGAAGCCAGTCATGGTCCAGTACACAAACTTAAAAGAGGCTGATGTGAGAACTGGAAGCCTCCATTGCTCTGAGACGCTGAGAATAGACTTTTTTATAAGAAGTTAAATTTCATCCAGCAGTTAAACTTTAATGAAAAACATCTGCATATTTATATTTTGGATTTTTCAATTCAGGAGTAGGAGTAGATGAATTGAAAGGAATTTTACAACATTTTGCATTGCTTTTTATGTCTTAAAGTATGTGTGAAAGAGATCTAAATGTTTACCTCTACTCTCTCTGTTCTGATCAGGATGTTGTGGACGCCAATGAGAAGCTGAAGTCTCAGTCAAAAGAGCTGAAGGAAGCCCACAGCCAGAGAAAACTGGCCATGCATGAGTTTTCTGAGCTCAACGAGAAACTCACAGACCTCAGGTACATCGCCTTCCCTGCACCATTTCTCAAAACCAAGACACCTTAACATCCAGTTGTCTGCACAGTCAGGGCTTGGTTGGTTTGTTTTTTCAATGTATTGACACTGAGCATGTAGACTACACTGTGGAGGAATCCAGACATGTAATACCAGGTTTTGTCTAGAATTTGTATGCAGTGGTAGATTCATGTCCTCTGTTTAATGTGTTTTTTGTTTTTAAGTGCAGCATTTACAATCTGCCCTTGATTAAACTGCCCACAGGTCAGCAAAGCAGCGCCTGGCTCGCCAGTTGCGCGACAAGGAGGAGGAGATGGAGAGTCAGATTCAGAAGGTTGAGGCTCTCCGCCTTGAGGTGCGAAAGGCCGAGAGGGCCAAGAAGGAGGTAGAGTAGACTCCCTGTGGTTGCTAGCACGCCCTGTTCTGTCCACGGTCACTGGTTGGTGCACAATTCAAGTTGATATCGCTGTCTGTGTGTGTACTAGAAATACTTATGCGGTTAATTAGAAACAATGTTGCTGTGGCTCTATTCTTCACTTCTAAAAAGAAAATGGACTTTATTATAGAGTCAGTCCATCTCAAATCATCAGGAGCTTCTGCTCGAACATCTCTGATTTGCTTGAAACTTTAATATCATAAAGCATAGATGCTTGAAAAAGTTTCTGTAAAAGTATTTTTAGAGACAATTTAAAGAAAAAATTTGTTGGTTGACCCGCTCTAAGCATGTTTTTTCGCACATTGAAATTTCAGGCCATGCTCGGATGAGAAATTCTCAGGAACTATTAAAGTTAAAAGCCTGAAATTTAAACTGTTTTTTTAAGATATATATTTGGTGAACTATTTTTAAACTCCAAAAATCTGATCTACTTGGATTAAACTATGCACCAATATTGTAGTTTTTGTGGTGCAACATATCATACCTGCTAAATTAGTTATACAAGTTCAACCCAAATAAACCAAAATGATTTTTCTCTCCATTTTTTTAACCAACTATTTCATATTTAAGAAGTATTCTATATGTTTTGTTTTCCATTATTGTGATACAAAACTAAATATAGTTTCTAAAATTATCAATAGTTAACTTCTGCATTTTCAGTTTTTTGTTAATGTGTGCTCAGAGAGGGAACTTTTCCTGACAACTTCTGTGTTTTTCCTTTTTCAACTTACTCATAATATGAGAATATTTTAGCTGCTTGTCCAGTATCACAGATTCTGAATCAATGACATGATGAGAGAAAACTGTGAAAATGGGCAGTTTGTAGAAAAAAAATATCTTGGAAAGCATTTGATATCAAGCTAAAATATCAAAAATGTATTTATACAAATCTAGATTTCATGCTAGGAAAAATTCAAGCTAATCAGAGCTGTATAAGCTGAAATTGCTCTAAAAATGTGATGATTTGAGAACGACCCAATACACATTTTGTTCTTAATAATTATAGAAATATACATATGTTCATATACAGAAAAAATGAAGTGGAAATAAGTCACAAAATCAAATGAAATTAATGTCATTTGCTTTGAAACATTGTTTCTCTTGTGTATCAATGTTTACTTGTAGTAGAAATGTTAAAATCATCCATACTTTTATGTATACCTGTAGTTTTTAGCTATTTTACTTTACATGTATAAAAAAGGTGTCTTTTCTTCTGTCATGCTGATTTGGGTGCATGAGAGGAAAGCTGTGTTGGATTTGTGCTTCCATCCGATCACTGGAGTTTGTGTCTGACATCAGATGGAGGCGCAGGCAGAGGAGCAGTCAGCAGAGACTCAGAAAGAGAAGAAGCTGAGGGAGCGTAATGAGCAGTACAGCCGACAGCTGGAGGAGGAGCTGGAAGGGCTTAAGGTAAGTGTGCAAACACTCACAGCTGAAAGCTAACCTATACTTCCACAGGGTCTCTGCACATCCTTTAAAGACTGACAGTGCAAGCCAAGAGGATTTAGACAGCTGGCAGTTTTTTTTTTCTTTCTGTACTGATACTAAAGCCCCTTTCAGACATGCACTCCTTTCTGTTAATCTGATGGCTTCGTGTATGAATGAAAACCCTGCTCACTTCTGACAAGCAACATTTCTGTATCACGTTCAACACAGCACAAATATGATAAGATAAGATGCCTTTGTTGTCATTGTATTCATAATGCAACAAAACTGCGCGTCCCCATCAGTGGTATTATAAACATAAAACGTCCTCATCAAACACAATCAATCCCACACTATCATGAAAACCATACGACATAGAAAACAACTTTAAAGAATGAACTAAATGCAGTCACATTAAAGCATAAGCACACAACAAGCAACATACTTTGAGCTGTTTGTAGGACTATTTTCTCTGAGTTTATTAAATACCTGCAGCATCAGACAGCTGCAAAATCCACATGAGTGTCTCAAAAACCAAAAAGTTCTGCACATTAATGAACAATAGAAGCAACCTCACTGATTATTCTAAACATAAATTATCTCCGACACAGAGACAGGATCAGGCAAGTCACAGGGTCACAGATGATAAACTAGAGGTCGATTATTTGTTAAATAGTGGATTTAGTTGTAGTTTATTGTTAATTAGTGTGTTATTGTGCATTATTTTCTCGATATGTTGTCCAATGTCTCTCAATATATGACTAATGTTGCGTACTTCCTCTGTCACTGCGACTGGTATGTTTGAATGAAGGAAGATGAATGTAAAAGTGATGACAGAATGCCATCACTTTAACAGAGTGATAAAGGCACCTCAGCTACATATCGTAGTCTAAAAAGAGCCTCAACTCTGCTTTTCACCTTCCTTCTTCTTTACTTTAAAAATTCTCAACAATCTCCTCATTCCCTCCACGCAGGTGAAGCAGGCTGGCTCCTCGGCCACCCCGGCCTCGGCGGACCAGACCCAGGAGGTGGGTCGCTTACGGGGCGAAATGGAGAAGAAAACACTCTATTACGAGCAGGAGTTGGCGCGCAGGGAGGCGCAGCATTGCACTGAGCTGAAGGCCCTGCGCAAAGAGCTGAGGGACGCCGAGAGCCAAAGCCTCACCCTGCAGAAAGAGATCCTGATGCTCAAGGACAAACTGGACAAGACTCGCCGTGAGAGGTGCTTTATCATCTTTCTGTGGACTTTGCTTTAAAACCATTACTTCCATACCACCTGTCTCTTTTTATTCTTGTCCAGTGCAAGTCTTCTGAATTATAATTGTCTAAGTAGTTGTCAATTTTTTTTCTTTTTCTTTTTCAGTGATGATACCATGAGGTAATTACTGTTACTTAGCTTGATCCCCTGAAATGTAGAATTAACTGTGACATGCTATTTTTTTTAAAGAGTTAATCTAGCAACCCATCAGAATGTAGAAGTTGTGTTATCCCTCATCCAGCTAGAGTTGACTTGTTGTCCAGAGGTGTGTACTATGAAGTGAGTTGGCAAAACTTTGTGTTACCTAGCTTTAACCTTAGTCACATATATTGGGTATTACAAAGTTGGCTCTCAGTTTTCTTTTTTTTTTATCAGGCTCTGTACGCGCTCTCATAAAAGAGGGCATTTTAAACATCATTTCACACTTCTTCTGCTTGAAATGAGACTGATTTACTTCAGTCAAGAGGAACAGGTTGTTAAAATGTAGAGCTATAGGAAATATAAAATACTATCACAGTAAAAATGCTGTTACTACAAATAAGGCAAGAGAGTAATGTTTGTAGAAAATTGTTAAATGGTGAGTTAATCTATTTATTTTAAGCCTCAGTGCACTTTTATGCAGCTTCTTATTTTTAATGTGACAGCTGCTACATGACACTCAACAAGTGCATTTCGGTCTGACACTGTCCCATAGTGAAGGATACGTGGGGATTACTTTAGTTTTTATCAAATTAAAGTGAAATTATTGTTATTAATGGAATATTCTCTGTGATAAATACCAACACACTAATCAATTTCCTAATCTGTCTTCTATTAGCTGCAGTACCAGCAGTGTAAAATGGACTTCACAACCAATCATGACCACACATAACGTAACTGCATTTTCTCCATCATCAATTGAATGCATGTGGATTGCCGTGGCAACGTGATGCTTACAGTTGTGTTCTGTTCAGGGGTATTATAAGTGTACAGCTCAACAAGCTGAGAATCTGCATCGCTCACAGAGAATATAGTCAGGAAAAGAATCTGTACAAGGGAGATGCTAAGATTCTCAACGCTAATTTAAATTCCAAACTGAACAGAACCCCTTCTGGAGCAGATTTGTCGCGCAGCATCATTTATTATTGTTGTCTAGCCAAGTTAAAACAGAGCCACCTTCGTGACGTTGAAAAATCTGACTTTAGGCTCAACATACCTCGCCAACTCATTAATCTCGCTTCTTAGTACAACCTTCTGGTGACTCCCTTTTCCACGAGTTCTCAAATACTTTTATTTATGCATCAGATATGATGCATGAATATAAAGAGTTTCATCACAAAGTTGATGTCCACCATGTTTACTTACTAGTGAATGATTATATAGAAGTCTTTTATGTCTCGTTTTGAGTGGTTCTTTTTTTATCTGGTCGCAAACAATTTCAAAAATGGCCTATAGCTTCTCAGAATAAAACCCTCATACATTAGATTTCAAAGCTCACAACAGTGTTTTTCTCTACCCAGCATTGCACAGAGGATAATTTAACGTTTTAAACAGTGGGAGTTTGTTTCTCCCACTGTCGTCAAAGTGCTAGCTCAAGGGGAATTGTTGGATTTATTGCGTCTCTCTCTATAATGTAATATTGTAAGGTCTCGACCTTAATATGTGAATTGCTCCGAGATGACTTATACTGTGAATTGGCACTTTATAAATACAGCTCAATTGAATTAATGCTACAGCTGGAAAATGAAAGGAAACGAAGCAGACACACATTATTGAAACTTTGCCTGCCAAACTCAGTGCAGTATGAAGCTTAATCTCTCAGGAAAGCCTTCTCGTGTTTACTTCAGTTGGTCTCATTCCTGAATCTCAGAATTAGACTTTACAGGAAGGATACTTTACTTATTGTAAACTGTTCTTGTAGTTATTATTATCTGTCCATTTGGCGTGAGTTTCTGAGCTGCTACATAACCTCAACTCATAAATGTTATTAAAAGTTGTAGATGTAAGTGTTAAGATTTCATTTTAGTGCATTGGGCAGCATTTCTGAATGGTGAAATGGACCCAACATACTGTCCAAATGTGCCAACTCAGAAATTATATACCAAGAAATCAAAAGAAGTGACCTTGTTTTCCTGCTGCAGCCCCGTCTGGTACTTGGGGGGCACCTGATCCCGCTTTGAGAACCACTGGTTTAATCAAATTTTAATACAATCTTGTTTTTGTGGAGGAAGCTTTAGAGCTTTGTTTTTGTACCCTGTAGCCTAACCTTCCTGCCTGGTGTTACTGACATAATATTCTCACTGCTTTCTAATTCATTTTTAAACACTGCCCTGTATCAGATTCTAACTGCATTAATGTGTTTGGGCTGAATAATACGTACCTTCTTACTGAGTCTTAGCACAGAGTCTTTGATTTAGTTTTTTTTTTTTGGTGTGTGAGATGTGTAAAGCCTAAAAGCCCACACATGGGAAAAAAAGGTAGGAGGATTGACAAGACTTTCTGAAGGAGGTTGACTCTCAGATATATTAAATGCGTAATATAATCTAGTATGTTGTTTGAATGTAGATTGACTGTACAAGGACCAGCTTTTTAGATTAGGAGGCAAAAAAAAGCAGAAAACTGTTCGCGCAAAACTGAAAATCTCTGCATAAAGTTCTGTTTTTGAAGGATTGATTTAAAAATCATGTTAATATAACAAAAGCCAAGTTGGATTTGCAGTTGAGAATCATGGCGAAGTAATAATAAGTGTATACAAATTTACCAGTCTGTGTCTCTTTATTCCAGCCAAAGCGAGCGGGAAGAGTTTGAGACGGAGTACAAGCAGAAGTACGAGAGGGAAAGAGTCCTGCTCACTGAAGAGAACAAGAAGCTGTCCAGTGAACTTGACAAGGTACAGTACTTGTTCACACGTCTACAACAAGTCAGATTTCTCTTTCTCTCAGCCTTTGTAACTCTTTGTTTTCATAATTTTCTGTCGTGCTTTCTCAGCTTTGTAGCAATCTGTTGATCCGTCTAACGCACACGCAGAAAAACACAATTCTTTAACCCCAGGTAACCCCTATCGGACCGCTCGAGCTCTTTCATCGCATTCCTCCCTCCGCCCCCTCGCTCCCGGCAATGCCAAAGAAATCACTGTTCAATAACCCCCGTAAAAACACCCTGTAGCCTCCTACACAGTCAGATGGAATGACGCTCTGGATCGTTCTCTGTTGACTTTGGAGATCTGTCTTGGAAGTTCAAAAAGGCCCCCAATTTAAACAATGTCTAATAAGCTGGAGACGTTTTGACATATGGAATATAAAATGTAAGAGTGTTGTTTTTACAGTCTGCCACTGATAAAATGCAGAACGTCTCGATGAAATAGACATGATATGGGTGCTACTGGAGTTATAGTTATTTAATGTATTGTTCTGTTATTTCATGCACTGAAAAATTATATTGTTTAAAAGCCTTCGAGAAGGATTAGATCTGTCTGTATTCTGGTATTAGCACAAAATAGCTCAATACATTTTGGAGCGAGTGAAAATATTATTGTTTGACTAGTCTTCTCTTTCAAAGGAGGCTCCTGATTTCAACACTGTTTGCTTAGTAGCGAAATCAAACCACTCCATCTTCAAATCTAACGCCTTTTTGTGTTTGTTTTTACTAAAGGAGAATGAATAGGCGGGCCTCTGTAATTTAATTTCTGCTGTTGACAGGATTAAATTGGTGATAAATGGGCAGAGCGTTGGCCAGGGTTTGGAAATCAGCAGGAGTTTATGATATTGCGCCTCTTCGCTTTCTTCTCCAAAATTTCTCAAAATTATTTTTTCTTTGAGGCCTCCTTGTACATGTTGTATAACCTGTATTCATCAGACTCTCTGAACTGCCATGTTTTCACAAGTAGATGCTTTTATAGCATTATTTATGTCCCCAAATTCCTACATAAGGTTGCACGTTCTGCCACACTGGCGTGCATTTCATACTGCTGAACTTCAAGAAGTTCCGCGGTTAAAATATGCAGATAAAATCATAACCAGTCCTGGAACTCAGGCTGAAAGAGGACCCGTTAAAAATATATTTCTGCGGTTGTCTGTGCTGTCACTGCAGAGCCTTGTAATCAAATACATAGAGAGGGAATGGTTGGATGTGAAGTTAGATGCTTATTTCATAGTGTTTGTGTTTTTCCCGATGGCTCGAAGCTTTTTCTTCAACACTGACGTTATTTTGTGTCCTTAAATGTACTCACAGATGCTTCGAACGAGAGAGAATTGCAAAACAATGTTATATTACTGTCTTAGCTTGTTCATTACATCACAGTCTTGACAAGACGCTAGATGTGCCCTCAAAGTGAGGTATTTAAGCAAACAAAAGGGCAGTTTGAGACTTGTAATGGTGTCGACATGGTTAGTCTTCACACACTTCTCATATTAAAGAGCCCATATCGTGCTTTTTGCGTTGATCCCTTTACTTCTGTGTGTTATTTCGCTGTCTTCTGTGATGGTCTGCAAACTTACAAAGCCCAAAGTCAACACCGAAGGAAGTTATTCTCTCTCTCAGTAAACTCTGCTTCTTACCTGTTGAAGTCCAGACTTTTCTTCCATTACTACTCAGCATCACCATGTGCTTAACCAGCCTAGAATGGGCAGCCTCCTCACAGTCCACCATTGTAACATCACTAGAGCTACTTTTGCGAAGGTATTGACACATAACCAGACCCAATTGAACTGTGTCAATGCTGGAGAATGGACTGCATGTTTGTATTTCTAATCAGAATCGGGAATAGTTTGTGAGCTCTGTCATTAAAGAACCAAGCAGGCTACTTATTGCACGATCTGAATCTTTGGCACATTCTGTATTAATCGGTAGTATTTCTTACAACCAAGCAACCCAGTTAACATGAGTGATTGTGTGATGAGCACTTTTACGATAGCATGCACAGTGGGAATTTTGAAAATAGAGCTAAAACACTTGTCTGGATGGAGATTGTTTTCTTTTTTTAAGATGAAAACCAATTAGTGTGGATGTAGCCAGAGGATGAGGAGAGATTATGCAGCAATGTGCAGTATAAGGAAAAATAATGCAATTTTAATCATTAAGGTCAGCCTATTCTAGCAGATCCTAAAAATATAATTATAAACTCATAAGTGTGCATGATATGGGCCCTTTAAAGAATTCCACTTTACAAGTGTCCTTGTCTTTAGCTAGCAAGTATGTGTTTGAGTACACACACCTCTTTAGTAGCTCTGTGGTCCTGTATGATGGACCATCTGGGAGCTGAATCATAAAATCTGTCTTCAACAATATAGAAATTAATTTTACATGTGTATATACTGAAGCAGTCATCGTGTGCAAGCCTGAGCACCTTCGCAGTCACACAGCAACTGTTAGACTCATTACACAGTATGGTTTTCTAATGTAAAGTCGTGGTGTTGATGTATATGTCAGCCCATTTAACAGGTGTCAGACTCCAACTCATGACAGCTTTACGGTTAAACACGTTTTTATAATGTGTTTTATGTGATCTTCTGTGTGTGCCTCCTCCTTCAGCTGACCAGCATGTTCGAGAAGGTGAACAGCTCCAACCGGCAGCTGGAGGATGAGATGAGGGAGCTGGCTGATAAAAAGGAGAGCGTCGCTCACTGGGAGGCCCAGATCACAGAAATCATCCAGTGGTAAAGACACACAACACACTCACGCCTAAAAAGCTAAACGCATGGCACACAGTAACCTTCTCAAATGTCCCAAATACTTGCTGAGGCATATACTTTCCCACTGATTGTATAGCACAGAGTGAAAGACGGCTATATTCAGCCTCGCAAAGTGCAAACAGACACACACGCACACACAGTCTTTCTAGTAGCATATTGGGTTCCTCCTGACAGTACAACTACAGCATTTCTCACATACCTTTGAAGATCGTAGAGCTACTTGACCCTCCCTTCCTCTCAGATCACTTCCCATTGCAGCTGACACCTCGCCAGCTGCTCGGCCTCCTTCTGTTGGACGAGCCTGCAGTCTCTACATAGCACACATACCACACACACACACACATGCACACACACACAATGCATGCAGAGATGCAGGCACTTGCACATTCCCAACATGCATGTACAAATGTAGTCTGGAAACTATGCGTAAAATGATTTAGTGATCAGCGTTGCCCCCTGGTGGCGGCCACAGGGGACTGCACAAGGAAATAAGATTACAGTGGTCAAAATATACAAGTAATCCTCTTATGTTCTGACGTTTGAATATGAAAAATTATGTGCAACTTTAAGTTTCAGGGTTCATGCATGTGAAAGTCAGAATATGTACAAGCAGGGTCAGTTTAAGTTCATACTTTGTGTTTATTCTAGCCGGGTGTTGAGGATTACGGAGGAACAAAAGCTACCTGCAGGCTGAACATGTGTCCATGTTTCTTTGTGTTTGTGTGTGTAGCTAGTAATAAGTGTGTTTTTAAGTCACAGCATCTTAAGTAGAGTTATGTCAAATCGTCTTAAAGGCAGTGTTGACATTTTTTGCATGTTCGTTTGTTTTCCATCCTTTTGCTGAAGGATGTTTGTAGAAAGGTTAAAGTAACTTGTCACAGCTCTGAATGACAGACAGTGGAAAACTGTTGTAGTGTGTGTATGTATTTAGGCTAAAAACAAGTTAATGTACTGTCAAAACAGTAGGGCTGATAGATTGGTTGGTCTGTGATGCTCATATCTGACCAAACTCTCACCGGTCAGGCAGTCGCCAATGTTGTTTTCATAAATAGAAAAAAATGCTACATCACCAACCTTCCATTATTTTTGGTGGCGGGAGGACCAGACTACCTATAAACACCCCGTTTGTTTTCACAACTTTGAACTCACTCAACTTGATGAAGAATATTAGGTCTAACTCATTTAATGTTTACTGAACTTTTACTGTGAGTTGGCTCCAAATGAACTGACTCCCTGTAAAAAAATAAAAATAAAAAAAATGCTGTCATTGTGCCTGCAAGTTGTTAAATCCGATCAACAAAAAGTGTGAACTTTGCGAACAACCAACATGTCAGATCATCTAATGCACATTATGTTTTTCAATAGTTATCGTGCTTGTATTACAAGTTGATGTAGATCTTTTTTAAGGAATTCATATGGGCAAATGCTCGCTGATCTGTTCAGAATCTATTGTTATTGTTTCAGTACATACTAACCAAGTTAAAGTAATTTAATGCGCTGCAGATACTAGTTTTTTGTGTTTATTTATAATTCATTTAGACTACTAAGACTAGCAGATACAGCGTACTTTTACTTAATTTAGACACAATATTTAAGATGTTTCTTGTTTTGTTTTTTAATATGAAAAATCAATTGGCCGACAAGTAGGTACAAGATTTCCTCTGATCGACTACAGCACTACAAAACTGTTATGATCAGATTTCGGCCTTTAGGGAGTATGTCTTTCAAAAATATTTGCATGTATAGTAATGCAGTGTGTGTGTTTGCTGCAGGGTGAGTGATGAGAAGGATGCTAGAGGCTACCTGCAGGCTCTGGCCACTAAGATGACAGAAGAGCTGGAGGGATTAAGAAGCACCAGTTTGGGAGCAAGAGCCACGGTAAGATAAACACACAAGCACCGTTTCCATTTGCTGCAGATTTGGCCTTGTTATTGTTGATAGGCAAGCATTTGTTGATTATAAATTGTAAAGACAATAAACCTACAGTGTGACTTAAATGTATATCGTGTAATATTTCATTATCATGTGTCAGTATCATTCCCTGGATTACTTCTTACTTTTCTATTCTAGTCTTATTTTAGCTTTCTTATTTTTATTTTCAGTAATGCATCGTACTTCCTGGGAGATTAAAGGCTGTATCATATCTTGTCTGCTTTATCTTATAAAACAAGTCACCGCTAATACAATAATAGAATTTGCTTTGCATGTGTCTCTTTTCTCCTTTCAGCCCCTGCTTTTGCTCTTAAACTTTGTCATTCACTAACTTTTAGCTCTTTTTTTTAACCCCGTCTCAGGACATGCCGTGGAAGATGCGCCGTTTCGCCAAGTTGGACATGTCGGCACGTCTGGAGCTGCAGTCGGCTTTGGACACTGAGATCAGAGCCAAGCAGAGCATCCAGGACGAACTGAACAAAGTCAAGGCCAACAGCATTTCCACAGAATGGTACCTTTACTTGACTATAACAGCTGAATAATAACGGACGACTACTGCTGAACAATATCTGATGCATCATTGCCTCTGATCCACCAGTAAACTGCAGGAGGTGGAGAGTAAAAACCAGGAACTCCTGGCTGAGATCGACCGGCTGAAAAAGGAGACAGAGGAGCTGCGGCTACGAAGAGGTAAATACAACAATAAAACACACAAGAATGACATGGAAAAAGCTGTTTTTGTTTACCACATAGGATGCAGTATATTGGATTCCCTCATATTTTCCTAATCATTTTGGTCAGCCGCTGATGCTAAGACCAACATCTGCACGTATTTATTCCACCTAATTGCAGAGAACATCAGATGTCTCCTGTAGCTTAATTAACATTTAATTATTGTCAAGGCAGGTGCAGATATAACATACGATGCTTTTTAAATGTCCACATTCACTGAGCAATATAAGAAAACTACTTCAACTTACACATAAAACGTGCCATATTTATTTTTGTGTAACATTTACTTGTCATGCTTTACACACTTTTTAATTTGGGGCCCCCTAAACTGCTAATGACAAAGTGATGCAAACAAAAAGACTAATTTTGCATTCCAGTTATGTTTTTGTCCATACACAGTGGTGATGATATAAGTGTACTTTGTCTCTGTGCATTGTGTGCTGTGTGTAAATGGACACTGCACACTCTGAAACTTTTCGTGAAAGATTATCTGAGTAAAAGAGGGTTTTGCCACACTCAACAGAACCAAATTAGAGGGTTTTACGTCAGTCACCACATTTGAGAAATAAAATCATGTGCTACGTTCACGGAAATGTATTGTTTCTGAGGTCATATGAGCCCACCCCCCCTTTCTTAGAAACAGTCCTGTGACTCATTTTGTTTAAGTCACCCTTTGATGTTTTAATATCACGTACTTAACCGTGGTTGTGTTATTTGTTCTGTGTCTATAGGTGTCAAGCACCAGGATTCCCAGAATTCCTTCTTGGCTTTTCTCAACGCCCCCACTTCAGCCCTCGATCAGTTCGATGTAAGTATTCAAGAAAAAAAAGCCTTTATCAGCCTTCAATTAAAGATTTACAATCGTGTCCAACTTTGAAATAGATTTCATTGGTTCAGTTTTTTCTTCATGTTTTTATTATTTTTGTTCACATGATTTTTTTCCCCCTATGTCTTTATTTTTGTTTTATCTTTTTGGTTGTTGTTTTTTTTCTTGCTTCACTCTCTGCTACATCAGGACTCTTATTCCTCATCCTCATCTTCTTTAATTGAGTTTTGGGAAGATGTAAGTTTATCTTGGTCAGGTGGAGGACCGTGTGTGTGTGTGTGTGTGTAATGTATATGTAACTGTAGCTGTAGGACTGTGGGCATTAATACTAGATGAGAAGGACAGTATAGATGTATGTATGTGCATACTGTGTGTGTTGCTGCCAGGATCAACTGTGGATCAACTGGAAAAATGTCATTTTAACAAGAAATTAATCTTATTTTTCTTAAAACAAAACAGCAGACAAAAACATCCATTACATATGATATTTTACAGCATTTTTTTTTACAGCAATTGCTTTGGTCAGAGTAGAATTATCTGACCCTGTTTGTCTTTGCTTTAAGAAAATAAGATGCTTCTCTAGTTACACCGTAACACTTGTTATGGTGGACATTTTTGCAGTGTGCTGCCTTTTGTATTTAGGTGCTTACTAGGCCTCATAGGTTAGTGGACTGTTTGAATGGCTCTACTTCTGCTTTTTTTTAGTGCTAGGACTGAATAGAACCAGGTTGATCACATTATTTATATTCTTCATTTCCTGTTATTCATGATTTTTCATTATTTAGACAGAACTTGAGTTGTCACTGTGCTCCGTACTGACTTTCCCAAGCTGCTCCCTTCTCATTGCCATGTGTATTTTTATCATTAGCACCCATCCATTCCTTTCAGTCTCTGTCCTGAGTTCAACCCTCGTGGACAAACAGTAGTGTAATGCAGTGCTTCCCAACCAGGGGTGCCTGAGCCCCGAGGTGACGCTTAAATTGGAAAACTCAGCTGACTCAAGTAACTCAACCGAAACATAGAAATTGTGGCTTAACCCTCTGAAACCCAACAGCTGGAGGCAGGTTTGAAAGGCATGTTATCTTTAGAAAATTGCCATTTATCAGAGACAGCATGTAAAAAAAAGAATGAATTATCACTTTTTCAACTTTCCTTTCCATATCTGTGAATGAATCGGGTAGGCTGTGCGGTTGCAACTGGAAAATGATCCACATCTAAGCTTAAATTTGCGATATTTCATCTAAATAATTTTATTCTGCATGTCTTATTTAAAACTCACCAAAAATAAACTCACGCCTGTGAAACACTAAAAAAATCTGCTGTCCCCACCCAACTGAGAAGCTATGACTGAAAAACTGTGACCAACAGTGACAAAAATTCAGGAAATATTCAGCAGGCTTTGTTTAAACAGAGTGGATTGGAGACAAGTGCATAAACATTTGAGAGCTTGAGAGGAGAACACAGCATACTTGATAAATAAAATAAATGCAGCATGGCTCAAAATGGTATACAGAGCAGCAAGTTGTTGGAAGATCCATTCAGCATGGTGAAATAGCTTTCTACAGTTGGTATGCAGAGTAGTGTGAAAAAGGCCTATTTTGAGAGGCTGTAAAAATGGAAATAGTGATTTATCTATAGTCTGTAGAGTCTCCAGTTTTCTTAGTATTAGTCACACATGCAGGCACTTGACAAATTGTTTAAAAAGTTCCAAGTTTTTTCTGTTTTTGTAGAAATACATAATCAAAAAAATTCAATTTTCATTTTATCTTACTTGTGAGTTATGGCATAATAACTGTGTCCTTCTGCACAGTTGTACTACTTGTCGCCATGATTGTCCTGTTTCCATAGAGATGCAGGAAAGTTGAGCAAAAAATGTCCATAAATTCTTTTGGGTTCAGAGGGTTAGCTAGAGAAGTATATCCATATATTTGTGTCATGTGGCGAAATATGATTACAAATTGGTGTGATTGTCAGTAAATTTACAACAACCAGAATGAGGCAGTTGCACATCAACACGTATGTCAAACACCAAGGATAGCAAGCCGAAAGATCATAGATAAACAGCTGAACTGGTTATCTAAAAGTTAATAAATGGCTCTATATTGAGTTTATTGTGCTGTTGAGGCAGTGCTACATCAGAAACTGAAGGTTGGGAACCACTGGTCTAATATAACACAGCTACCATTTCCATGTTTCTCCCTCAGCCTGTTTGAATATGTGTTCATGTGTGTTAGAAAGCCTTTCTGACGTTCACTCATCTCTGTGTCTCTGCCACTCTCTTGCCTCTCCTCCTGCCACTGAAGCGCTCGCCATCCGTTGGCCCAACTAGCAAAGGCAGACGTGTAAGCACCATCACAGCGCTCTGAGATCTTACCAAGCCTTTATCAATGTGCTGATGTTTAATTCGTGTGTGCGTGTCCTGTGTGTTCACTGTGGCTGTCTGATTGCATGGCAGGGGGTTCTGAAAAACTTTTTTGTGTGTTCTCAAAAGTGTTAATGTTTGATTTTTTTTTGTATTTTATCTGTATGTGGTATTGCTATGTGTGCATTGGTGTCCTTGTGTTTATTTTATTTTTATTTGTGAATGGCCATGCATGGTTTATGGTTTATGCTTGTGGTGTTTTAAGTTGGCATGGTCATCGGGCTGGGATGTGTTGTTGTACATGGGGGTGCAGTAAAGTTGTGGTCAGTTTTCCTCTGTAGCTGTGACGGTTCTGTGGATATGACGCATATCTTGACCACAATATCTCTTCATTGTGTTTTCCACTGGTGTATTTTGGTGCTTGTCCTTCTCTGTATGCATGGATGCTGCATATTGATCTCCTAATATGGTTTAACTAACACGGTTTCCTCTTTCCCTCTGTCTCCATCCCTTCCTCATCACTGTTTCTTCCTCCCATCCTCCTCATCTTCCCTTTGTGTCGATCTTTTCTTACCTGTCTCTCCTGCTCCCTGACTCTCTCTCTTCAGGTGGACTCTATGGATAACTTCACCCCCTCCAACACTCCATCTCGGGAAGATGACCCTAAATCCCACCTCAAGTCCCGCTCACGTTCACCCTCCATGGCTAGTGATATGGAGCCCATAGAGGTCAGATAATCCCCAAGTCTGGGCAAAAAAACTCTAGTGTTGTTGACTACAACCACAAAGACTCAGCCACTTCCCCAGACTTTGAGCACAAGGGTACATCTGAATGACTATTGGTTACCTGTTTAAGGTCTTAGCAGCCACTCCATCTGTAAAGCCCCTCAGACATGGACTCCTTTCCATTTTAGGGACAGCATCTGAACATGCCACCTTTATGGCAGCAATCCTACTAGGTCTGACCTAGTAACAGTTTCATATCACTTTCAACATGGTACAAGTCTGAACTGATGTCATGGCATCAATGAATAACTACCCAAAATCGACAAGTTATTTTAGCTCCAATTTTGGAGACACAGTTTGCATGCCAAAATCACAAAACATTTTTCTTGTTCACTTTATTCTACAATTTCACATCTATTGCAAACTGAATTGTACATTTAAAAAAAAAAAAAAAAAAAGATCATGATTAGGACAGAGACTAGTGGATCAGAATAATGAGGCTCATCAATATTCAAGGTTTTGACAAAACACTAACAGGAGTGGAAGTTTGTTGCTTCCAGCTATTTTTTTGGAGTCTTTCTTCTTAGTTTATTAAATACCCGCAGCATCCGACAGCAGCAGGATCCATATGAGAGTCTCCAAAGAGAGAGCTAAACAGCAACAACATTAAACAACAGCAATAACTTCATTAATTAGTCATGATCACAAATTATCCCAACATAGAGACAGGATCAATCAGAATCTAACGACTAGTCACACTGTGAACTTTTCCTCACGTTAGACAGGTGAGCTACAGTTTGAAATGTATGATTTCATAGCTGATTTGGATTTAGTTCTTTATTTGTTAGTGCATTACATTGGGTTTGTCTTAATGTACTTGTGAGGAGCATTAACGTAAATGCGCCCTTTATCTTAATGACAGAAGGCAGTCACTTTAGCAAGCACTGTTGCCTCTTCTATGTTGACTCGCTTGACATTAGAATGCTGCCTAAAAACTCTCCATCTATGTTTGGCATGTTGAAGGTCAACAAGAGCATACTCCCACATATTTAAATCGACAATTTGCAATTACATGTTTCGCCGAAACTTCTCAATTCACAAAGCTCGGACTGTCAAGTCGGTCATCCGTTGTGAATTTGAAGTGATTTAATTAAGGAGAAATGCGAGGAAGCAGCAGCACATTGATAGGAATGAGAACACTGACTGGGGCCGGTAATTCTAAATTAAACTCAGCTCCTGTTAAATATGGTGCAGAAAGTGAATACCAGTGTCCTATCGCTGAGCTTTCTGAACGGTGTTCACAACTGAAGAAAGTGCTTGTGAACCACAGTTGGAGAAGATACAACTTCATGACCTTGATATATACATTTTCTACTCATATGATCCTCTGGGAAACTAGATCAATTTTACTTGCAAAATCTACACATTTGCCCCAATATGACAAACTGTTTTCCCTTCACCTCCACTTTTACCTGTGAAGTCTGTCACAGAATTCTTGCTTAAGCTTGTTCTTGGGAAGCTTTGGCCTCGGTGCCTGTTTACACTAATTTATTGGAGAAACCACAACCGGCGCAAAGTCATGAATCTCACCACTCAATGTTTTTGTGTCTTGCAGTTGATAGACCATCCGCCTCGTACAGTTCAGACCCCCACCATGCGCTCAGGAGGCTACGGCAGCATTGGACGCTCCTCGCCTAAAGTTAGACATTGTCCTGCGGTGTCACGATTCACTGTTGCTTCGTGTTATTATGTTTCATAACCGCTGATTATGTCTCTCTTGCTCATTCGCGTCCTCTGCAGCCCAAAGCACATCAGTTCGTAGTGAAGTCATTCAACACGCCCACTAAGTGTAACCAGTGCACCTCCCTCATGGTGGGACTCATTCGTCAAGGTTGTACGTGCGAAGGTAAGAAAAGGAAAGGAATAGAAACTGTTTAAGGTTGCAAACACTATTGACTGTCTACTAATCAAGAAAGACACGTAGTCGATATTTGGAGCTGATATACATTAAATCTTTTATATTAGCAGCATGTGATGAAAGGAAACCTGTCATTCATAACTAGGCTTCTTTATTAATATGGATTATTATAACTAAAAATGTGCAGCAGGAATAGGGGTGATGACATTAGGACTTTCTGCTCTGTTCACTGTGAGATTGATTTATTGAGATTCGTCAGTTTGTTTCCTGCTGTTCTTCTCTGTTTCGTTAATCTTTCGCTGTTCTGTCATTTTTATTGTCCACTAAGGCCCAAATCCTAAAGCAGTATTTGTTTCACATACTGTTTTGAGGTCACCTGCAGCTGCCTTCAGTAGTCAATCTTGTGATTTGTGGCTGTGCTTCTTGTTCAGTTTTTACAGGTTGTGTCTCTGCTAGACAGTTGTGTCTGTCAGTTTAAACAGATTGCCGATGTTCATCTTGCTTTAGAAAGATGTTATGGGTACTCCAAATAGCGTTAGCAACAGGCCAAGAGGCACAGCACACCTCTTAGTGATAGCCTTAAGCTAGCACCGTCGGCAAAATAATTTCTGTGTGATTGGCTAGGCTTATTATTGCTAGATCCTTACTGAGGATGTGCATATTTTTTGCTTTTATGATGATTCCTGTTCATATAGTTTCAAGCTAACGTTAAAAACATAATCAGGAAAATTTAACATCGGAACCGAACCACCAGTTTAAATGTTGTAACAATGTGCTTTTTATTGACCCGTGTCCTTCTGTCTCCTTGTGTACAGTGTGTAATTTCTCCTGCCATGTAACATGTGCGGACAAGGCTCCAGCTGTGTGTCCGGTGCCTCAAGACCAGACCAAGGGTCCGCTGGGCATCGACCCACAGAGGGGCATCGGTACGGCGTACGAAGGGCACGTCAGGGTGAGTGAGAGGCTTTATGCTGTCTTTAGCTTCAGGTGGTTGAAATGAGGAAGTGAAGTGTTTAGATACCTCGAGACACTGAGCTGTTTATTGAATCTGAACCTAAATACATCTGACTTTCACTTTTCCTACCGTCCTCCTACACTCACATAAACATGAAATACAACTTTTGGTGCACACTTAATTGTCAGCTTTTATTTATACTCAGAGTACATGAAGATAGAAAGGCTTCATTTCAATGTACCTGAATAAGAGAATAAAAGATGTGGACACACAGATAAAATTTGATAACAATAATTTTTTAAAAGACAAAGTTAGTTAAATAAAAACACGAATTGGTACACTTAAGTTTTAGAAACAAATGAGTCAACTACAACCAGAGCAGCTGGGGTTAAAACAGGACAAAATTAAAAACATGAACAAGTCAAGCTTTAGACTGTTTCGCAAATTATTCCATGTTGCAGGTTCACAGTGAATAAAACCGGATTTTTCAAATTCAGTAAAAAAATTACAAAAATAAAACAAATATGCCACCTGCAGCGTAATCCAGTCACCTGAGTGTGTTTGGTAAGAGCCTGCATTGAAAGACAGTAGTGATGAGGTAAAGGGAAAAAAACAGCGGCAGCCTCATAAATAAAAAAAAGCTCAGCGTCTATCACACCTTACAGAGAGCGAGGGCCATCCAACTTTAGTACATAGCTCACAATAATGACTGTTATAAATCTTAGTGCAGAATGATAAACAACATCCAGTGGCTTCAGAGTTGCTGATTCATGTATAAGATTTCACTGTTATCCAATAAGTGTTGATGATAATTTATTCCCCTTTAAAAAAAAAAAAAAAAGACAGTTTTTTGAGGTAGTTTAATCACCAGTGCTGACACATGAAGCTTAAAAGTGAGTTTCTCATCGATCAAAATGCCCAAATATTTCTACTCTGAGCACTGTCAATATTTGTGGCATTCAGAGTCGAAATGACAAGACTGTCAGAATCAATGTTTGAGGATTCTTGTTGTAGCAGCTCTCAGATAAACCGGGTCTCTGCGTCTGTTCCAGGTGCCCAAACCAACAGGGGTGAAGAAAGGTTGGCAGAGAGCGATGGCTGTGGTCTGTGACTTCAAACTGTTCCTCTATGAACTGGGAGAAGGAAAAGCAACACAACCAAGTGTAGTAGTCAGCCAAGTCATAGATATGAGGTAAGAGAGGTACTACGAGCTTCTTGTGGTATGAGATGGAATGTCATTTGTTTTGTTGTTTGAAGCAAAAGATTTACTGGCTCCATCTTAGCTTTTTTTTGTCTTCTATGATAGTTAACAGAACATGAGATAAAACGAGACTTATCAAAGCATCATATTGGATTTTTTCCCTGTTTTCTGATGTCTTCAGACCAAATAATTGGGCGAACAAATTGACAGAATTAATCAGTTGTGAAAATACATATTCAGCAGTTGCAGCTCTGATGAATACTCCCTTAAAATACTTGGAATTTGCACATGAACCTTCAGTCCAGGATGGTTTATTGCTCGACAGCAAGTAGTAGGAGATGTTAACATGTTGTAATGAATTTGTAAAACCTCTGACACACAGTTTAAACTCATGCTACATAATGTATGTCCTAAATTGCAGCCTTTGCAACGTGCCAATTGCATTGTTTCTAATCGCTATCTGAAATGGATGAATTGTTCATCCTCAGTTAACACTGTTGACTGTGACATTGTCCTTCATATCTAACTGTTTGATCTGTCAATCTGTCCTCCAGGGATGAAGAGTTTTCTGTCAGTTCTGTCCTGGCCTCCGATGTCATCCACGCCAGCCGCAAGGACATTCCCTGTATATTCAGAGTGAGTTCATTGTTATGGGTTTGCTGCAGTTCTTGGCATTTTTTATTTTTATTTTATTTTTTTTATTAAAGTTTGATTTGTCCCTGGAAAAATAAAAATAAAAATTCAGGAAGCACAAGTATTTGTCAGTTCCTGTGAAACCCTCCATGTCCTGAGAACATTTGCTATCCATTTCTAATTTGAATTATTGCTGTCAGAGTAACTGTGTTTTCATAACATGGTTTTATTTTTAATTTGAAGTGTAGCATTAGAAAACGAAATGGCAAAATTTTAAAAACTCCCCAATTTTGTTAAAAAGTTTTTATGCTTGCCCTGCTTGAGGTGACATTTTTTTTCTTAAATAAATAGTTAATGTGAGATAGAAACACTGATTGATGGAGCAAACATTTAACTCACATGACTGAACAGCACTTTCTGCTTCTTTTGTTGTCTTTGTCTCCATACTGGATAAAGCATGATCAATACCAGCCGACATCAAAGAATGATTACAGTTTTATCAATTGGAAGCAATTCCTGAAGACGTCTATTCATTTTTTTGATTAGGTGGATAAAGTTGTGTTTTCTTCTCCAACTACTGTTATGCTTTCCTTTTTTTTTTCTACTGCCAGCATACACCGCCACCTTCTGATGTCACTGCACAGATTAGTTTTTTCATGCCAAAGCAGTTCATGGAAGCAACCCCTTAATTTCATTTTCTCTTTGAAGTTTTTTGTCTGACATTTCAAAAGTTTGATTCCAGTTCAGGTGACAGTTTTATGGAAATACATCTACTGGTATATGAATCACCTCGGTTTAGAAGCTGATCTTTGATACACGAAGTTTTCACAAAATATACTATAAAATGTATAACGTGAGCTCTCCCTGCTCCCTGTTCTCTCCTCAGGTGACGGCGTCCCAGCTCTCCCCCTCCAGCAGCCACAAGCCCTCCATCCTGATCCTGGCCGACAGCGACCAGGAGAGGAACAAGTGGGTGGGCCTCCTCAACGAGCTCCACCGCATCCTCAAGAAGAACAAGCTGAAGGAGCGCTTCGTCTACGTCCCCAAGGAGGCGTACGACAGCACCCTGCCCCTCATCAAGACCACACAGTCTGCTGCTATCATAGGTGGGCGTTCAGCACTCATGTTTCAGCTCAAAAACATCTGGAAAACCAGGTTCACAGAGGACAGTAAACCTACAAGAGCTGTTAAAAGAACCGACTGAAATATCTCTCTGCAAATCAAGATTACAGATATACAAACTCCACTTCTATCTTGTCATCATGTGCATTCATTATCTCAAGAATAAATAGCTCCTTGTTTATGAGAGCGTAGCTGTGGCAGAAAGAGATATTTTTTTTCTATTTGTAGCCAATTAAATTAGAAACCGCCTCAGGGCCCAGCAGTTATGATTATTGCCATGTTTTGAAAATAGCAGCTAGTAAACAGATTAGAACATTTTCTGCACATAATAATCCTTTTGTGTCCTCTAACCGGCTTCATTTGTTTGCTTTGCCCTCAGATCATGAGCGTGTCGCCCTGGGCAACGAGGAAGGCCTTTTTGTCATCCATGTCACCAAAGACGGTAAGATCCACTTAAATCCAGCATTTTCTCATCTGTTCATATTAAGTTCATTGGTTTAACGTCTGTAAAGGAAGTGGACTTTCTTCGCTCACTTCTGCACTGTCCTTCCGTCTTCAGAAATAATCCGGGTGGGGGACAACAAGAAGGTCCACCACATCGACCTGATCCCCCAGGAGCAGCTGCTGGCGGTCATCTCCGGCAGAAACCGCCACGTCCGCCTCTTCCCCACGCAGGCCCTGGACGGCCGCGAGACCGAGTCCTACAAGCTGGCTGAGACGAAAGGCTGCCAGACTATCGTGTCCGGTCCGGTCCGCAATGGCTCTCTCACCTGCCTCTGTGTGGCCATGAAGAGACAAATCATATGTTACGAGGTCAGAAAACACTGCGTATAGCTTCAGTATGTTGGATAATAGAATGTCTGGTCTTATGCTGGTGCTTATTTTTGCTGTTTAGATTTTTAATTCAAACAGCATCTACATTATCTCAATTTATATGATTTGCTGAAAATTACTGTTTTCAATCTTGCAGGTGAATAAGAGTAAAGGACGTCACCGTCGGCTTCGGGAGCTGCAGGCGCCGGGACAAGTCCAGTGGATGGGTCTGCTCAGTGAGCGTCTCTATGTGGGTTATCAGTCCGGCTTCATGCGCTACAGGTAGGCTACATGTTTATAACTGAATCTAAATACAGTAGAGATGCTACCCTTGTCAAATATAATCCATAATTCATTCAGTCTAACTTCTGAAAACCTCCACAGCGTCCACGGTGACATGTCTCCGGTCAGCCTGCTCCACCACGAGGACCACACCCTGGCCTTCATCCCTCAGCAGGGCCTGGACGCCCTCTGTGCCGTGGAGATTTCCAGCAAAGAGCTGCTGCTGTGCTTCAGCGCCATCGGGGTGTACGTGGACTCGCAGGGCCGCAGGTCGCGTCAGCAGGAGCTGATGTGGCCAGCTGTGCCCAACGCCGCCTGTGAGTGCAGAAGTTTTGCCTATTTTATGCTGTTTTTACCCGAAGACGCAGATAGAAAATGCAACATGGTGGATGGAGCTTGAAAGTCTAGATACAATTTAGAATTTTTTTGTATTTCTGCACAAATAGAAAATAACATAAGAGGCGACCACATTTTCACACAAGTCCTAAAAGTAGATAAAGAGAACCCAATTATATTTTTAAATATTTTCATGCCATAACAAAAAAATGGAAATATAGGTTGAGATTTTAAAGTAAAAACAGACATAACCATGTCTAATGACGGATTATGTTTCCTCTCCTTCAGGCTACAACGCCCCCTACCTGTCGGTGTACAGTGAGAACGCTGTCGATGTGTTTGACGTGAACACGATGGAGTGGATTCAGACCATCCCTCTAAAGAAGGTCAGTGTCCTCTGAAGCTTCAGCAGCAGTGGATGTAACTTGAGGCTTCTCTGGCTCCACCTGGTGGATTGAATCACTCAGTTGTGTTTGCCTCGTCACTGTAGCAACCTCTCTTATTCTTTTAAATCCCACATCCTCATTTAGATAAAATAAAGTTCAGATTTTGATGCGTACTCAGAGTAAATCCTTTTAATAAATCAAATACTAAGAAAATCAGTTATAGAATGTTTACTGATGTTAGATTTATCATCTTCTCCTTCAGGTGCGACCTCTGAACATCGATGGCGCTCTGAACCTGCTGGGGCTGGAAACAGTTCGGCTTATCTACTTTAGGAACAAGATGGCTGGTAAGAACTCTTAGTTGTGTTCTCCATTACAAGCACATGTCTTGCCTGCATAATCTTATTTAGAAATATCAGTAAAATGTATATATTATTGAAATATCAAAAGCAAAAGTTACTTTTCAGTTGTTGCTCCTGATGCATGAACTTGAAGCAGCATTATATTTTGTAGTACGTCAAGCTAATTTCACCTGTTTAACACACTTTTAGGTAATTTCTTCATTATAATAGGTTCATTGCATGTTTCATATTTAAAATTTTCATGTGCTTGTAACTGTTGTGGAGTAGAAAGTAAAATATAATAGTGAAAATTATAAAGCCGCAGAAAATCGAAGCACCCTTGAAATTTAATGAAACATCTTGGTTTATCTTAGTTTTAGTCAAGCTTGTATTGTGAGATAAAGGAACCTCAGCTGCACATAACACCAACGGATGACAGGATAAAGTCAGTTGTGTTCTAGGTTTGCTCTTTGTTTAAATCAAACTAAGGCTGTTACCGCATCAGTTTTTATTATTGTAACCAATATAATTCCCGCTAATATCATTGTGATGTCTGTAGAAAAACTGTTAAGTTATAATATTAATAATGCTATCAATCATTTTTAGCTGTAACTTCGTTTATTGTGTTTTTGAAAAGTGAATTCCATCAAAACTTGACTGTCTGGAGGTGGACAGACACTATAACTGTAGTGTATGTTGTTCTTATGTTGGAGTATCAGCCAGATGGTCACTGATGCTGGATTATTTATAATAATGTCATATGTGTGTAATTAATATGTCAGTATTTATCTTTATCAGTACCAGTAAATTGTGAAAATCAGTATTACCAACTGAATAAGTTGCATGTTCATGTAGAAGATAACTTTTGTGACTCTAAGAGTATTTTCTTTCTCATAGTAACAGCTAAAGGTGCACTTTTACAGTTCAGTCCTCCATCAAGGCCAATGTTCTTCCATCGCCCGTCTTCAGTTCCGCTCTAGTGGAGAAACATTAGAACAGGGAAGGGTTGAACGCCTGGATCTGGGATTTAGCAAGATTATGGCAGTCGTCATGGCAGGACTTGAACTCTTGAACTCTGCTGCTTTTTTACTATTGTTTTTCTGTGCGACTTTTATTCTGTTTCTCATAGTTTGTTTTGTTAGAAGCAAAACTTTGACACGTCACTGTCAGCCTCCAAACTAAAATAGAAAAGCTTTGTAGTCGTCCGTGTAAAGACGCCTCTGGCTTCGTTTGTGATCTTTCAGAGGGTGATGAGCTTGTCGTCCCGGAGACGTCAGACAACAGCAGGAAGCAGATGGTGCGCAGCATGAACAACAAGAGACGCTTCTCTTTCAGGGTGCCAGAAGAAGAGCGACTTCAGCAGAGGAGGTAGAGTACCTGAGAGCTTTACACTCACTGTTTATCACCAGAGTCACAGCCTTTTCTAGGTCACCACTTATTAGTTTTCACTAAGTTCACCTTAAACATTGTAGACCTCTTGTTCTGTTGTTGAAAGTTTCTCAAGTTTAGTACCAGTTTCTAACGTTTCTGATGAGTTTTCAACTGCTGCATAGTTTATTGTCTTTGCATTAATGTGGATGTTGCATCGAAGCATTGTGGTGCAGAAAGGACCCACGAATCAAAGCTCAGTCGGTCTACGTTCCGACCCTCACTTATGGTCATCAGCTGTGGGTAATCGCTGAAAGAATGACATTACAGATACAAGCAGCTGATCTGAGTTTTAGTGATTGTAGGAGGAACTTGGACATCTAGATGGAGTTTGGAGTAGAGTAAAGGAACCAGCTGAGGCAGTTCTTCCATATGAGGGCTTCTTTGGAGGTTTTCTGAGCACATCCAACTGGGAGAAGAGACCCAGAACTGACTCGAGGGGTTACGTACCTCATCTGGCCCAGAAACAGTTCATGCTTCACCAAGAAAAGACTGAAAACATTGCAGTTAATAACAGTAATAGAAACACTGCTTTTAGTTTGGATTAGAACAGTGTGCAGGCTCATCATACAAAATGTGGGGAGAAAAAATGACAGACGATAGACTGCAGTTGTCACTGAAAATCTCTTACACCTACTTCTGAAACTGAATTTCCATTCAGGAGCATGCAGAGCAAACAATAATATACGATGCAGACATTTCATAGTTGTCACAAAAATCAAACGGTAAAGTGTTTACCCTTCAGATACAAATGATATTTAATGGAAAAGAGATGGATGATTTTAGTTTTACTTAATCTGTTGCTTTGATCTTCGTTGTGGTTCAACTCGTGTTTGTGATTCCAGAGAGATGCTACGAGATCCAGAGATGAGGAACAAGCTAATCTCTAATCCCACCAACTTCAACCACGTGGCCCACATGGGACCAGGAGACGGGATCCAGATCCTTAAAGACCTGCCCATGGTACACATATGAACAGAGACATACATAAATCCATACATGTGCACACAGCCTTCTCACAGACTTGTCTTTGCTTAAACACATGCAAATACGAACACAATGAAAGCTTACACAGAAAGCTACAGGAGCAGCGTCCTCACTGCCTTTACTGAGACGTACAGCATGTTAACACTGAAATCTGAGCACAGGAAGTTGTCTAGTTTCCATTTTATCACCGACTTCATAAACTGACCTGAAATGTTGAATCCCATTGAGGAACTCTTCACCATCACGTCACTTTATCCACTAAAATGTCCCGATCTTGTTCCACCTGAGCTGCTTTGTGTTTGTTCAGTCCGTGCACATGTGTCTTTTTTGCTCCAGCCTCAATACTCAGATCACACGTGGACCACATTTGCATTGAGCATGTTGTGTTTATATCTGTGCACCATCCTCACTCCTCTCCCCTGCACTGCACTCTGTCTTTTCTGTGCGTGTGTTTGGTCCCTGCCTGTTTAAACCAGAACGTCCGTGTTCAGGAGAGCCGTGCGGGATTCAGCGGGTCAGTCAGCATCCCCTCCATCACCAAGAACCGGGCCGAGCCGGGCCGATCCATGAGCGCCAGCAGCGGACTGGGCATACGTGAGTAACAGCAGTACAGAAAACACAATCCAGTCAAAGACCCTCTCTGCGGAACATCACGTTTTATCTTTGTAGCATGTCTTTTTGAGGTTTTTTTTATATGCTAGAAGACATATTGTCAGTAAAATATTAGCCAGTGCCATAGTTACGCATTTCTACTAACTGTGGTGTACAAATTACAGTCCCAAAAATGTAGATTCAGACTTCTGTGGTTTAATACGTGACAAACTTTAGGAATAAATTCTGTCGACCTGCAGGGCAGAGTTCTTTGTGTCATTCTTCATCTTCATCGTCAGTTTGAGCATGTGTGGCTGCATTAATTAGTGGTTTTACAGTGTTTGAGTCATAGGTGAGCTGGTGTGCTTGAACTGAGTGCAAAGAGAGGCAGGGACTTCATAGAGCTGCACATTCTAGAGGAGGCAGTGTAGAGTTACATCTGAGCCATTTTAAGGCAAGAGGGGATTGTTTTCATGGATTTCAACGTTAAATCAACAACCTAAGAGGGACTTTACCTTTATCAGATGATGTTCGGGGCCTCCCTGTGACTCCCTCGGTTCCTCTCCTTCCAGGTTCGTCCTCCCAGAACGGCAGCGCTCTGCGCAGGGAGCTGTCAGGAGGAAGCTACGGGTCCAAACGACAGACCATGACGTCTCCCTCTGAGAGCTCCCTGTCCTCTGGAGGGGGAATGGACTGTGGCGACGCTCCGCTCTCACAGTTCGACAGAGAGGTCAGTCACTACTTTGAAACTGAACATACAGCTTCATGTGCGGTTGACTCTAAACAACAAAAGGATTTGATTTCCAATCTTTTAGAGGCGACTGGCAGCTTCGGAGCGGTTGGCCTGAACTAACTAATCTTCTCTTAATGGCATTCTTGTTACTAATTTTTACTAACTGTTGGTTCAAGTCAGGGCAAAACTGCCACTTTAAAGATCTGAACACGTCAACCCAACATCAGCTTCGTATGAACAAGTGGAGATCATGTATCCTTGCCATGCGACTGTAGAACTAGACATGAAGTTACCAAATATCTTAAAGTAGATCACATTGTTCCCCTTTGAAAATACGTCCTTCTTTTTCCCATCAGTCACAAACATCCCAACATCCGCGTGCAGATTTCATCCCACCACTCCAACCAGTTGGCTAGCATTCTGTGATGCTTTGTAGTGAAGACCCAGTAAAAAGACACTGTTAATGCCTTCCCAAGATGTCTGCTGTAGGTTTAGTGTTAACCAGCTGTTGACTCAGAGGGACGTTAATGTCCCTTTAACAATTTGTGTAACAGTTCTCTATATTTTAAAACAACTTGAGCTGACCAAAGTGCCTCACTTGTTATAAGACAGGCAACAACAAAAATATATGCGATAAAGCAAAACAGAAAACAGGATGAAACTTGCAGACCCCTGAAAGCAACCAAAAGCCAAAGAAATCATCTATGTTCAGCTTTTTTCTTTAAAACGTAAATGGAGGAGGATTTAATTGAAAGAGGAAGGCTACTCCAAAGCTTCGGAGCTGCTACTGCAATCACCGAACAGCTGATATCAGTTCTTGTGAGGATCTAAGAGGCCTAGAGGTAGAGAATGCACTCAGGTGTCAACCCATGCATGGTTGTTGCGCCCTTTAATCTGTGCCTCATGAATATTCCCAGCAGCAGCATCAAGTTCTAAACTGTCATTTTGCAAATAAGATGACAGCGATCAAACAGTAACAGCTTGTGCAGTTATGGGCAACTTCAACCCCCATCCTCCCTCCCACCCTCAAACCGCCCGCCATTCTCTCCGTGGCTCCCCATCCCCATGGCCTACAAGCGTGGACGCTGTCAACTCCATCTTGCCCCCATTTTTGCCCCCATTTGTCGCCCCCCTCCTCCACCCTAACCCAGCTGTACCCCGCGCTCCCCGCCTGCCCCCTTCCCACCCCAGCATGTTGTCTGTGGGCTGGGCGCTGAGTCTGAACTCTCCTCTGCAGTGGCAGGCAGTCTCACCGTCGGAGAAGACCCCTGATCTGAAAAGGGCTTTAAGGACCCTGCTTAGTAAGATGAAGGTAATGTCAACTGTCAACAAACACTGTGTCACTGAATACGCACCCACACGCAGAACACAGTGTGTCAGTCCAGCATTTTACCAGCAGACACTTGAAAAACACACACAGGTTGTCACTGAAACTCTGCCGACCCCTTCGCTGCACCATTTCAGCCCCGTCACCTCAGCAGCATCTGGTGGTTTGTTGCATCTTTCACCGGAGCATCAGCTGCACCATCAGTCTGTCCAGTCATCCGGCCTTCATTCTGTGCTGATGAAATGGTGCAACGCTGCTTCCCGTCGCTGCTAATCACAGAGCATGTGTGCTTCCATTACTGCACCCCGATGGCCTGCCCATGTTTCTAACCAGGAGTAGTCCATGTTCAGAGCATCAGAGCACAGCGAGGCCTCAAGTACACGTAATAATAAGAAGGGATGTCCTGACCAAAGCACAAACATGATCCGTATCAGCATAGTCTGCAGGTGTCAGTCGGTGATTCAGCCAACTTTGTCCGCCACTTCCGCTACCTGCGTGTTACTGTTGTAATCACAATGTTGCATCCTTTGTGAACCGTGCTCATTACGACTATGATAGGATCAAAGAAATACAAACAAGCAGGAGCATTTTTTTTCCTCTGGGCTGCCAAAGGTAGGCTGGTATTGGCAAACAAGCTAAGCCCAATCCTTTGCTAATGTCTGCTATCACACAGGTGTCACAAGTTACAATAATTTCCTTAATAAATGCGTCATTATCAATCAGTAGTTGATAACGCAAACTGAGCAGTCATTTGTCCTGTGCTGATGCATGTGGGCTACCAAAGTGACTCTGTTACACATGCCACTGTGACATAGGAAAACTAGTCAGTCTCAGCTTATTTTACACAAATAAGCACTAGCTGGAGGCCATTAAGCTTCACAGAAGTCTTTGTCATGACTCCTTGTCAGGACCCTACAGTATTAAATAGTAATGTACGTGTCCACATGGTGACAGTTATAGACATGAGGGATCGCACTGTTTCCCAACCACTCAGTCTGATTGACAGGAATCCAACATAAGCTTCACCCTTGTACAGCCGTGCAACATTGGCTGCACCTGACAGGACAAACGCTGACGATTCTCAGTCATCTAGGTCATGGTTCTTCTGGTAGATTAATCGTAGCATCTGGACTTGCTTGAGAGGGCTGAAAGAAGCCATCTATGTCAAACTGGAAAGACCATCCCTCAACAGAGGTGGAGGTCTGAGGCATCACCTCTCACCTGTTTACAATTCAGTCCTAAGATCTCTCCCCAGGAAGATGAAACTACATTCACACCTAGTCAGAAAAAAGACCCTAACGAACCCCTTTGTGGCAGGGGGAGTTCTAACGGCCCACATAACAAGGGGGAGGAGCAACAAACCCCCAACTGAAACCAAAACTCAGGTGTCAAAGGCTCCTTTAGGATATAAGTATGTGGAACTCCCAGCTAGTCAATCAGAACTGATGAAGCCTCTTGGATGAGAGGTGGAGCGTCTTCAAGGAACTCAAGCAAGTCCAGTTACTACGATTAATCTACCAGAATTCACCTGGAGGCTATCTGCTTTTTGATTTTAAATCGGAAGAACGTGTTGGCTCATTTAGAAATTTTGCATATATTACAAAGACAAGGCACCAAAATGTTTCTGGAAACATTCGAGGCGTGAAATAAGACACACAGCTGCTGAATCTGTCTTCATATTAGAGTAACGCTGGTTAGCTTAGAAGTTTCCAGATGCATCGTGTGGCAGCTGGATGCCCCTGATTTACATAAAATGGCTGAAATTTCAACTTTAGATAAATTAGAAGTAGGTAATGCTACGTCTCATCTTGTGACGCTACCAGGACGCATTGCATATCTGCGTACAAAAACAATAAATGGGCGGCGCTGAAGTGATGAATCCAGTGGACTTGTATCAAAAGAGGTGCTACAGTTAATGTACAGTTTATAAAGTATGGATCATCTAGGAAAATGCTATAAGATTGGATTAGCAAAGACTAAATATTCAGTGACTGATCAGATGAAAAAAGAGGTTTGATCGGGACATCCCTTCTGCTCAGTAATAGTCTGTTTTCAGGGTTCCATCAGGATCTCACAGTAAAGAGAAAAAAAGAAACAATCTGTGTGAAATGACTGTTTATAATTAGACTGGTTGGAAACGAGCACAAAGTCTGCATGAACCCTGATGCACTTGTATGTCTCTGATGACTGATTAGTCAGAATGGGCTGGAATATTGTGTGCTTTTAATGTCACAGAAAAGATTTGTCTTCACTGTAGCTGGGCAGCAGTTATCTCAACATGTCTGCAGGATCTCGATAGCGCTTAAAGAACATAAAAACAACCCCAGCTGCCCATCTACACTGACTTGTGAGGTGCACTAAGTGTGTTGATGTCCACCGTGTCTTCCAAACACTGCATTCATGTACAACTTCACTGCATTCTCATTTATGTTTTACTGGTCCAGTAACAGTTTAGCATTGGAGGTGTCTACTTTCAAAGAGCCACACAGCAGCTGAGGAGTGGCTACGTGAGTCCGATGTAGACTTTCACTCCCTGGTTAAGTTTAGGTGTACGACTTGCTAACAACATGTTCGAAGCTTCTCCTTCACTTCCTGGTTTATCAGACAGACGAGTCCTGCCTCCTGTAATGTACCACTGGTTGGCAGACGGTAAAACAATAAAAAGCATCTCAAGGATATGTTGACTACAAGCATCAGTCTTTTGTGTTATTGTGACTACAAGTGATTGAGAAAATGTAACCAGTTGACTTTGGTCTTTTTAGTTAAAGTGCGTTCAAAGATTTTTTTCATACTTTAACTCACTAACTGGAGCCTATTTGATCTATTTGTTGGATATTGTAGATTCTGAATCAATGACATGATGAGAAATAAAAGTGAACATTTCAGGCTTTTATCTTTAACAGCCTCAGATTTCAATGCTTGAAAAAAATCATGCTGAAAGTGCATCAAGTGGGCAATTTAAAAAGAATATCTCAGAATGTATTAAAATATATTAACCTACAATCCCACTGATGCCTTTTTAAGCATTCATAGTTTATGATAAAAACATTTGAAGCCAATCAGAGCTGGTCGAGCAGAAGGATGATCTGAAATGGAACAACCTGCTTGTGATTCGTCACAAATAAGCATGACCCAGGAGAAGATAAGTTTCCCTCTACACATACCTGAGAATGCAGTTTAGTTGTACTGGAAGGTAATGTTTTGAAGACAAGGCTTGTGCTGAGAGTAACAGTGTGATTTACTGTAGAAGTAGAAACAACTGGCAGCAGAGCGATTGTGCTCTTTGGTGTTTTATAGACCAGTTTGTGCAAGTTTAGATTAGATCCAGGTAGGAGACGATGGCTGCACATTAAGGAAGAATCTACAGCATCACTGAAGTGGGAAAACTGTGCATTATACAGCATATCGGACAATAACGAACCCCTTTATCAACTGGAAGTAGAAACAAAGACACCACATAGACAGCTACTGGTGTGTGTTGTCACATTTTTAGATACGAGTGATGCAGGTCAGACTGAATGTGTCCTGTACAGTAAGAAGTTTGATCCTCACACCCCCCCTTCATCTACCTGCATGTTTGTTTTCCTCATTTCTGGTCAATCGAGCTGTTCATGTGCTGAAGATGTGGTGAATGTAGTGAAGATGATGTGGGGGGTTGAAGAAACGCAGTCTGACCTCCATCCCAAACCCACAAGTCTTAATGAAGAACAGATAGTGTGTGGTAGCGTCCAACAGTGGGAGCTGTTAAAGGACCATTCTGCTTCATTTCAACCTGCTGTGTTTCATGTTAATGTGGCTCCACGTATCAGGCTAGCTTTGCACTCTTTGCCTCCGTCATAGAGATTTAGAGAAACAGCATTTACCACCCAGCAATAAGTGTGAGCTGTCCACAGCTTTCTAAACTCATTTTTATATTAATCGTTTCTATTTTTAAAACCTAAGTTCGCAGAAATTATCCGTCTGTCATGGATGTTTTCTTTTCAACTTTATCAGCTGTGTTCGATCCAGGTGGTCGCATTTTTTTCCCAGGATGTTTATCAAAGATGCAGATTTACAAGATGATGTTGGAATCACACTTGGACATTTTTCCAAGTCTGCCATCAACACATCCAACTCTCAGCAGTTTTCCTCCTCAGTTGGTAGCAGAGCAGCGACACCACCGGCTTTATTCAGGTCGTCTTCATGTCTTTCGACCTCCATCTCTGCAGTGAGAGTCGACCTCACACATGTAGACAAACTGGTGTGCACTGATAATATCAGGTCAGCCTCAAGAATCCAGTGTGCAGCTTGAAAAAATGTCAGTTCCAGACAGTTCATTTCTGTTTAACTTCCATCCACAGATTGCATATAAAAGATGGACGTAGCAAAAGTGGTGTCACCCAGTGGGTTGTTGCCTTCAGTTTAATATTTGATCATCACTACCTTTAAAACCACCTTACTGAGCGACTGTTGGATTTCACTGAGAACTCGAGGACGCTTTGTAATCGCCCTTAAACATACTGTGCGTTATTGTCCATTTTCCTCTAAACAGGGCCGTAATTTACAAAATAAAACATCATGCCAAATTCAGAAAGCCCTCAAAGTAGCAACTTAGACCATAAACTACTTTGGAAAATGTTTCCTGAGGTAACAAATCAAGTGAGGAGTCGGGCCACTTTCTCATAGACTTCTATGTAATTAGACCAGAAGAGTCGCCCCCTGCTGGACGTTAGAGAGAATGAACATTTAAGTTATCCATCTTTTATATACAGGCTGTACCTAAAAACAAGCATTTAAAATGATTCTCATATCAACCAGCTGCAGGGAGCTCATGCTAAACACGGTTCTGGAGCTGTTTTGTGCGACTCCATGTTTTCCAAAATCTCTTTAACCGAGGAAAAGAGTGCAAAGTTAGTGTGATACCCGGAGCCACATCGATGGGAAATGCAGCAGGTTGAAATCAACTAGAAGTCTGCTTTCTCCTGAATAGCAACATCAGATATATTTTAGAACTTCTACAACCTGCAGACAGAGAAACAGCCTCTAGTGTCATGAATCAAGCAGCTGCCAGAAAGTTGCATTTCATTCTGAGGAAACATCATCTAATCTTTGCTTTGTTTGTTTCTTTTCCCAATTTCTTCACCTCCAACTCCTTCTGTCTTCACTTATCCAGGACTCGGACTCCCCCCGTCACTCCACGGCCTCCAACAGCTCCACCTTCAGCAGTCCCCCCAGTCCGGCCTCCCCTCACAAGACCAAGTCCCTGTCCCTGGAGAGCACAGACCGGATGGGTTGGGACACATGAGCCGCCGCCAGCCTCTCGCCCATCCAAAAACCCCACCGACCAACCAACCAACCAACCAACCACCGACCGACCGACCAACCGACAGCACAGGACTCCCAACTCTCCTCCGCCGCAGCCTCCCAGCGTCCTTTTCTGAACATCCTCCCCCCCCTCACTGCCCAGAGAACTGCACCTCCTGACGAACATTTGTCCCACTTTAGCGCCCCGGTTTGTCTCAGCGTTCTTCCACGACGGGGCAGAAAGAGTCTCTCTGAGGGAGAGGTTATGATTAATTAGCGAACATGTGGGCGCAAGTGTGTGTGTGTGTGTGTGTGTCTGTGTGTGTGTGTGTGTGTGTGTGTGTGAGAAGCCAGCGCGTGTGCATGTGTTTATCCACATCCGATCGACAGCTTCCCGTCTCGGCTCTTTTCGCCACCAACCGAAGCACTTGAGCTTCATCGACACGACTCGGTTCCCCCGTCAGAGACTCAAAAACCTCACGATGCAACACTAAAAAAAAACAAAAACAAAAAAAAAGAGGATTATTATTATTATTATTATGGAGAGAAAATGATTTGTACTTGTACATAGGACCCGTTGGGTTTCAGGGGACGATATTTTAATTTATTTATCAATCTTAAGACAAGGAAAGGGAGGTTTTGCTTCTTGGTGGCGCGAAGCAGACGGCCGGAGCTCAAACCCCGCCGTACTTCCCACTGTTGCTTTGGGTGCTGCAAATAATTGAAAGTTGATGAAAAAGAAAAGAAAAAAAAAAGAGAGAGAAAGGAAAGGAATGATTATTTTTTATTTTGCTCCTGATGATACTAAGTGCAGTGACTTTATAATATTTTTTATTTTGACCATCAGCAAAAAGCTACAAGCAGCAACAGCAGCAGCATCATCATCACGACTGTGCTACTCTCTTCCTCATTGGTTCAGTGATCCGGCGGCGTGTCCTCCATCGTAGCGTAGACGTTCGCTGTACAACCAAACTCCCATCACAATAATGTACATAGGTTCAAAGTAGAGAGTAATATATGATAAGGAAAATACTATAGAGAACTACACGGGAAAGAAAAAAAAAATCCTCTTTGACTTTTATTTTTTTGAGTGATTTGGGGTTGTTTTCACACAAAAAGCCATTTTAAACCACTTTTTTTTTTTTTTTTACCAATTTTAATTTTAGATTTGTTTTATATTTTATGTACGACACGCGTTGAGTGTGTGTGTGTTGTTTTTTTTTTTTTCTTCCACACTTGGTTTGTATGGATCGACACTACTGCCCGTACTGTAGAGTGAACACGTGCATTTATCACAAACCTGCTTATCACACGTTGTATCCGCGAACACTGAGGTGGTGTTTTTACGCAGCAGATGCCTTTCGTCCTTTAATCGGTGTGTTTCTAAAAAAAAAAAGAAATGAAATAAAAAATCCCGCTGATGGAAAGAAAAGGTCAGTCCTTCCACTGAGACATAAGCTCGATTAAACCAAAAAAGAAAAAAGAAAAAAAAAAAGGACAAAAGAGGGAGACTTTGTTATTTTTTCTCACAGCCTTTGCTTTTTCTGAGGAATGTTTTTGATGATTTGTAAGAGCTCTTGAGTTTAAAGTAAAATAAGAATGTAAACACTAAAAAAAAGAGAGAAAAAAAGAGTCAGGACTTTGTGTTTGTCTCGATGAACTGTGGAGAGAATAACCTCAGTGCTACCTGTTGTTGGTGTGTGTAACATGAGCAGAGCGATTAAAAACCCCGTCTCCAGGCGTTTTTTTCCTTTGGCAGAGCGTAAAGAGCATTTTACGGTGTGGCGGCTTCTGGCTGCAGAGCAGGGCATTCACAGCCAAAAAACCTGTTACCTCTGTTCATCTCCTTTGGTTTCATTTAAAGGCATTTTAACCGAGGAATCGCTCCCGGAGCAGAGTGAGAAAACTGTCATATACCACGGTGGTTAGGATGTGGTGTTATCTGTGAGAATACCTGGACTCTGCAGAGGGTTTTTAGTCCTTTAGAGCCTTTTAAGGAAGAGCTGGGTCCGTTTTATTCCATTTGTCTCGTCAGAAAGGGAAACAAAAGTACTTTGGGGGTCATTCCTGCCCGTTTAAAACACTGCAGAGTAGCTCTAAACAACCCATTCCAAGTGTTTCTTTTTTTTTTTTGTTTTGTATCCTATTTTATATGAAGAGAGAGGTTTGGAGCTCCGAGTTGGTTTTATTCCAAACATCTTAGAAAATGTTTTAAGCTCTCCTTTAGTTCCTGCTGGAGTTTATCTGTAGAATGTATTAGCTTTGGGGAAGGGGAGAGGAGACCGTCTTCGCCTGGTGTTTTATTATCGGCCGATATTGTACAGAAAAAGAAAAAAAAAAAAAACTGCTCCCAGATGTTTAGAGGAGAAAGGAAACTCAGGAAATGTCAGAACCAATGAATTATTTTCATTTAGATGAGTGTTTTTCGACGGCGGCAGTGAGAGAATCTGGCTGTGGTGGAGACAGACGGCAGGAAGACAGGAGAGCAAAAAAAGAAAAAAGGCGGCGAGAACCAGATAGACGTTTCAGGGGTGAAGGGCGTCCGGTGGTTTGACGGCTGAGGTGCCACATTGGTAACATTTAAGAAAATTTAAAAAATTCAAACGCCTTTGCATTTCAGTGAGGTCTTATCTACAGTACCTTCTATATTATTTTGCTCTTTCATATCATATTACACTTTTTTTCTAGGATTGCTTTGTAATAATTTGTACAGTTTTGCATGTTATAGATGTAATCATTTGTTTTTTTTTTCGGTTTGTTGTTTTACTTGCTCCTTTTTGAACGGTTTGGGCGTTTTACTGAGGATAACCCACTACAGGTGATGTAGATTCTTTTTTGCACAAAAAAAAAAAATATTTAAGGTGTAAGGTCAAAACAAAAAATAATGTATGGAACTGGCTGCCACACTTACGTGGAGAACTCATTATATTAACCTGACTCCGATGTATTTCAATAAAGCGGAGGGCTGTTACAAATACAAATAATACTGTGTGGTCATTTTGTTCTGCCAGAAACGTCTCTCTGTCGGTTCCTTAAAAAAAACTTTATTACAAATTAACAACAGAAGCTCAGTTTTTACATCTATGAACATATTTTTGCCACTAGAGGAAATGTCGGTCTAACATTTACAGCAGCTATACAAGTAAGGACACATCTGCAAACAGGACAAACTACACTGAATTTCACTCTAATTGAAGGGCGCTCTAACATCTGGTCAGACTGTGAAGATGTGTTCAGACAGAAAGCAAAGTGAAACGTTGCATCTGGACTCCAAGTAGCCAAAACGCCAACGACGTGTAGGAGAACGTTGAGTCTTTTATCCTGTGATGGCACCACGGATGAGTACCTGTTGCTATAAAAGTCTATTTATGGTATCCAGAAGACCGATGCAGACTTCGGTTAAACTTCTTCTTATATTGAAAACAGAAAAAAACATGTTGGGCTTCTGTGGATGTTTCTGAAAAGCTGCGAATGTGCACTTTCACACTTTCTTTTTTTTTTTTTTTACCAGTTAGGTGCCAATTGGGCCACCGTGTCAATGTCATTACTCCTGGTGTGTTGAGCACAGTGGACATAGCACTGGACTTCTGGAGATTTTAGAACTTTCTTGGGTGTTGCTCTGTACAAATCAAAGCACCTCCATCGTGGGAGATCTTCAACTATAACTCTTTTAATGATTAGTTATAAAAGGTGTGGAATGTCCTCGCACAGCCTCTTCTCAAAACAATCATTCATTCTGGGAACCGATTGTTTTCCTGGAATATGTGCAGTAACACGGTCACAAATTTCAGACGTCCACCCTCGTAAACTTGGGTAGATGCTGGAATTGATGTCACAGAAAACATGAGTTGGCCTTTATACTACTTTGCTAGAAGTCTGCTTTTCCATACATGTGCAGTAGGTTGTATTTACACATGCTTACTGCCCTTGTAGCTAAGTTTTAGACTTTCTGTAGTTTCTAACTTTTTAAACCTTTGACCAGACATGGACCTCCACAGAACTTATGTCATGTGGAGCCTCACGTACTTGAAAAGTACAACACCGGCCTTAACATTGAGCTCTGCCTCCAAAGTCAACTAAAACTCTCGCTCTTAGTCACACCCATCCAGTCTCTTCCTTGTTCTCCCATTGTGACATTTCATTTCATTGAGCGAGCACAAACCTATCTGTATTTTGTGTTGCCTCTTGAGGCACACAGATTGTGCCTCTTAAATTCTCTTTGCATTCTGTCTGAACACAGTCATAAGGCAGGAGTTTGGATTTAGCTTTTTTTTCCTGTATTTCAGCCCTTTGCATTCAAAATTGCAAACCACAGATTCACACATATTTGCGCAGGTGCAACACAGCACCTCAATATTAAGAAAATGTTCGTAAAAATGAGACAAGGCTTCTGTAAAGCTTAAGAGACGTGTACGGCCTCGCTGGTCGCCAGAGGAGTTTCAATGTGGATGTGAAACTGTTCAAATCTTTATGGATGAAAGGGTTTTCGCAGACTTAAGTTACCAGAACTTTGTAATAGATATCAGAGGTGAAAAATAGTTAAAAATACCCTGCTTCCCCCCTCCTGACTGCTACAAAGCTTCTCATGTCTTGTATCCGTCATTCAAATTCTATTCAGAGTCCTTTATACAAAGTACAGTACGAAAAAAGAACAATCTAGTGCAGTCTGTCAGCGTTGGTCACATTTAGTTCTCGACTGGCTCAGAAGCGAAGCCTTGTTTCGGCATCTGTACGACGCCATCAGGACGCAAAATCCATCGTAGCTGCGCTCAAACGGGTTTGAAGCTGAGAGGAGATTTTAAGGCAAAATTTGTAGCCCTCAGTTTGGTTGAATTTTCCCTCCTCAGGCTCCGTCACTGACAGCACAGTGGCTCATACTCAGTGTTCTGTCAGGTGTCCTCACACATTCTGTAACTTTCTAGAAAAAGACAGAGAAGTCAGCTTCCCGCCTCCGCCTGCCGAGCGTCTTAAAGCAGTTCAGGCTGTCGCTCCGTCCTCCTCCAGGACTCGGTGAATCCCGTTTCCAGGGACTCCGAGGACGGCCTGGGTGGTGGCACTCAGGTCTCTGATGCTGCTGTGCCTCGACTGGCTCTCGAGTCGCTGGGTGGAGCCGTGACGCGACAGGCTGTCCAGGCGGTTGGTGCTGCAGTGTCTGGACTGCGATTGGTCGTTGAGGCGCGGCATGCTCCCGTATGGCAGCCGGTCGTCTGCAGCCCGGAAGCTGGAGGCGGTGTACCTGATGGAGGTGGAGGAGAACAGAAATGAGCCTCAGGTTAAGAGGTACATTACAAAGGGTCATTCCACCTCAATGTACCCACATGGTCAACTCAATCAATATTCACTGCTTTAAAAGAAAATTCAGCCAAACTGAAGCTGGTCAGGTGTGAGGGATGATCCAAAAGTGAGAAAGTGGGAAACCGACCTGCCGTCTCTGGATCTGTGCAGGCTGCCGTGGTAGCTGCTCATCTTGGAGCGAGCGCTGCGAACCGAGCCGGCCCGGCTGGTGCTGCCGCTGGGAGGCTCGTCCAGCATGGCCAGGTGGGTGGAGGAGGCGTGGGTGGACGTGCCCTGGGTGGAGGTGCCCCGAGACTTCCTCACGATGGGCGTGTTGGGGTCCCGGAGCAGCAGCTGGGCGAAGTCAGGCTCCTGCAGCACCTGTCGGCTCTCGTTGACCATCCCGCTGCAGCAGGGGAAGGAGGAGGGCAGGGAGGAGGGTGAGGAGAAGGAGGAGGAAGAGGAGGAAGAGGAGGAGAAGGGGAAGGGGAGTGTCGGCAGGGAGAGACGCAGGAGGGTGGGGAGGGAGAGGGGGAAGGTGGCAGGGTGAGGGGAGTGGTAGAAGAGGATGGAGGAGTGTGTGGAGCAGGCGGTGGGAGAGGGGGTTAATGCTCTGAGTTTGGAGGGGAGGGGAGTGATTGCAGAAGAGGCCTGTGTTCACCAACAAGCCACAAAAACCAACGACTCCTTCACAGAGCCAGAGTCCAGCAGCTCGACTCAAACAGCTGTGGCTCAGCTCCCATCAGAGCCCATCACACAGCAGGATCCCTGCTTCTACCGCACACAAAAAGGACATCTGGTCAACGCTTTAGGCTGCAGAAACGTGGGCATAACGTCAAATTCACCTTTAAACTTGTTGTCTTTCATTGTGGAATTCTTCATAAATCAACCAGATTACATTTTTTATCAGCGTAGTGAGATTCAATCAGGCTCCTGCACTGTCGAACTCACAAAGATACAATCACTAGTGCGTGTGCAGATTGAGTCTCTAGGATACGCTCGTCCTCCTCCTGCTCACCTGCTACATGCAACAGATGTGCAACGAGTTGCTTTGGCTTAAATCAACATAATAAGGAAATGTTTAAGTTTGCCACGTTGCAAAGTCGTCATACATCCTGCAACAGCTACATGAGGGCTAAATGATATACAAAATATTGTGATTAGTTTTCATATTGCGATGAGTCACAACTTCAGTGGTAATGTTCATTTTTAATAATTTTTCCCCCACTGAAGATTTTTTTTTTTTTTTTTTTAATGAGGACATGATTTTTCCTGCAGTCACACCCTTACTGGAGAACATGATTTGTAGGTTTCCACATCTCTGCAGCAACACAATGCTGCATTCATATAATGACAAATTTTACCTGCATCAAATAAATTGCAGCTGCAGCGATTTGGATATTACACTTAGCCATACTGAAAGTTTTAAAAACCTATATAAAATGAATTGTTAAGCCCTACACTACAGCATGATTAAACTGACAATAAAAAAGGTTGTTGTCTTGCTTGAAAATTGTACAAGTCAACAACCATAACGTAGGGAATGAACCTTAATCTCCAACCAAAGTGCTCAAACCGAAACCACATGCAGGACTCTGTATATGAGCTCTGCTGTCAAAGCTCTGGGTTTAGTGAGTCCACCATCCACCCCGACCTCCAGCTGCAAAAGGTACAACACTGTTGCACTACCTTCAGTCTGCTAGTGACAATAAAGCAGGAACTAAATAAACCAGCAACTACATTTGAATTCAAAATGCTCATATTGTTGGTAGAACTTGTTCTTCACTGCAGATTTGGTGACACGGTGGACATAAAGAGCCAGAAAGTGGCTTTGAGCAGCTGTACGAAGGTAAAAGGACTATTTTGGTTAAACATTATGGATCCAATAAGTTAAAAATGTTTCATGTTCTTCTGTCTTGGATTTACTCTTTCTGATTATTAGCCTCACTGATGTTAACATCAAGTTGTCAGTGACAGAAAATACAACATAACTAAATACCTAAAAAACAAAACAACAACCATTTAGTCCTTTTGTTTTTGTGCAGGGTTCTTTTTTTTTCTACAAGCTGCTTAAAAATAATGTGTCATCTCAGATTATGCTCCCAGCTGGTCTTTATTCATCTAATCTTTAATTTACATCTTCAGAGAGGTTAAATGCTTTACATGAGTTAAAAGTACTGCAATAAAACTTGTCTAAGAAACCGTGTAAGGATTTTAAAGATAGTTTGCTACTAAAATATTAACACTGTGTATTTCAAGCCTAGTCCTTCAGAGAGATCAGTGTGGATAAAATACGTACTCTTTGCGTCTCTTGCCGTGGAAGAAACTGGCCCACTCGAAGCAGGTCTTCTTGCTGCCCACCCAGAACACAGACGGGATTCCAACAATCAGCATCATCAGGTACTTGATGAGGAACAAGGCCAGGTCAGGACGACTGGTTCGCTCCACCTAAAGGAAACACAAGCAGCAGATGTGAAGGTTTGTGTTTGAGATGAAGACAGACTGAAGGAAAGATCACCGTGTTGGTTTGTGTGGGAGGAAGAGCTGGAGGTGGAAAGACTGAAGAAGAGAAAGTTTGCAGCTGAAACACCCACATAGACTGTTTAGCCTGAAGGGAGGAATGTGGAAGAGAATGTGCGAGGGAACTTGAGCTTGAGAGGACTGACTGTTGGTGAGCTGCAGGGCAATAACAATCTATTTTCAAACCCAGATTTTATATTAAGCATTGATATTGTCAAAGCTTCATGTGAAAATACTCTGAAGCACCCACATGTCAGCTTGAGCTTCATTCAGAACACGTTAGCAGCTGAAATCTATATGAAATATGCAAAACCCTGAAACAGCAGGCAGTGTGGAAGCTGCACTACAGGGCATCGGTGGCTCCTGTATGTAAATATCAGCAGGTATGAGCTCATTAAAAGGTTGTAGCCTGCTGATAGACTCAGTTCATTCATTCTCAGCGTGTCTGTGTGTGTGTTTACTCCACATCATCACCACCAACAACACAGCAGCCTTGCTGGAGGCATAAACACCACAGCAGCAAACACACTGTTCATCCGTCTGCGACCCGACAGCTGATGATAACTAACAATCCGTCTTTCTACTCTTTATATGCTTGAAAATAAATCAGAATTTCTGCTGCTGCCCTTTGTTGCAGTTCTTTTTCTTTTCTTGTCACTTATGTCGTTCGTGACCGCTGGCAAAGCTCAGCTCATATAAATGCTCAATCCTCTGAACCCCAAAACCCACCGGCAGATTACAAAAGCGTGCCAGCTTGTAAAAAATTACCAACATGAAATCATTTATCAGAGCCAGAGGAGTAAAAATGAAAACAATCATTGGATTTTCTACTTTCCAACGGTTCGTAACCGATCTATTTAATGTGACATAAGAACAAAAGAAACACAAAAGAAAAAGTTAAAAGTTCCTGTCAGCTGTGGTCGATCGTTTATGTCTGAGCTGCAATGACAGACACACAGAGAGTTTTCTTCCTGGAGGAAGCATGAACAGCAGCAGGTAGATGGTTTTCAGAGCAAACAGCCCTAAAATCAGATAATACAACATTAATTCAGAAACGGTTTTCAGTCAGTAAGACGTTATTTCAAGCTGAAATCTAAGAGTGAACAGAGCAGGAGGGCACTGTGCTGCCTTCTGCCATAGCAACAGCACTACAGCTGGCACAGAGAGCCACAGAAATACTATCTCCTGCTCTCTCCTCCTGTTTCTGACACACACACAGTCACACACAGATGTAGTCATGATGGCCTCATTATGAGTGGGCCAGGCGGAGAGCCCCGAGGCTCAGAGATCCACAGATACACTCATTACAGCTGAGAGATAAGAGACTGAATGGAGGACTACAACCAACATCCTCATTACAGCCAGCATGTCAGTGACCACGACTACGCAGCAGCTCCACTATCAACCTCAGCGGACATCCAATAGATAGTTTATTAAAACCTGGTCTAAAATAAAACTGGAAATAGCCTCAGTCTTTTGTTCCTTTGTCCAGTCGTGTACGGTTTGAGTCACTCAGCGTCTGTGGTGAAGAAGAGCTGAACATCAGAGGAGAGGTCTGAGCCTCAGGGAAGGCTTTTAAGATAAATATAGTGAGGCACTTTGAGTCTGAGCGATCTGTTGATGCACGCGATGGACTGTGTGGATGAAAATGTAGTGAGTGTGAGCCTCCCTGAGTTTAGGGATGCAGAGTTAGAGCGCACCGTTGTGTTTCCTGTGTAAGTGCACAGCGCAGCTTGTGTTCAGATGTGCTGTAACTGTGATGTGCAGCAGCTTGACCTCGGCGACCCCGTCTTCTCCCAGCAGAAACACGCCCTGGATTACCGCACCACACTACTCTCTTACACAATGCAGTGTTTACGTGGCAGATTAAGAGCAGGACTTTGCGGCACAATGCATCTGATCAGAGTCCTACACTTCTATCGCTTCCCACAGCTGAAGCTTCGGTACATCATGAAGGTTTATTCTGGAACTTGCGGTGCAGAAAATCAACCATTTTCAAATACTAACATGTCAAAGTGGCTAAAATTCACATTAACTGATTAATTTAGGTTAAGAAATCGCAGCCTGATCCAAGACTGGGTGTTAATTCTACCAGCATGGATTATGTTGGACTTGATAAAACAACATGTACACATGAGACAAAGACTCTGCACCACTGCAACACTGTAGAAGCGGATGTGTAATCGCAGGTGCTCACGTGGGAGGAACATAGACAGGAGAGAGTGCTGTTTGAATTATTAACAGCTCTATCAGATGAGCTGCGGATGCTGGAGGCTACTGCAGCTCTGTGGAACATCTCGGCTACTGAAGACAAACAGCAAAAGAGTGAAGGTGTTAGTGTCTCGGTCTGTGTTGCCTTTAAACGTACACAGTATCCGGTTTTACTCTGGACACACAATCTCCCTGAGTGTCTTGCTCTCTAATGTCTCGGGATTCAGACACATCTGGCACTTAGCAGCTTTCTCCCAGCTGTTACCTCCTCCTCCGTCTTCAAGCCTCCTTGCAAAAGTCCCAGTTGTACATTTAATGTGAAAGAGCATCTGTGCACGCTGCCATGAACGTCAGTGAATAAACACATCAGAAACTCAGTTATCAGAACCTCCAAGTAAAGATGTGACTTTTACACATTTTCCTAGTCGGCCATGTTAGCAAACAATGATTAATTCATTGTACAAATAAATGAAATAAAGTGGACTTTTTCCAAATACTGATGAAACAGTTCTGAACCAAAGATGCGGTTGTTAACGGCAAAATCAGCTCAGTTACATTAGGAGCCTGAAGAATGAATAAAGTAAACACCAGATTACTTGGATTCTAAATTACGTAGCAAAATAAATGCCTTAATTAGGGT